TGGCACCCGCCCTGTGGAACGCCCTCCCATCAGATATCAAGGAAATAAACAACTACCTGACTTTTAGAAGGCATTTAAAGGCAGCCCTGTTTAGGGAAAATTTTAAGGTCTAATGCTTTACCATTTTTAAGGTGTTGTAAGCCGTCCAGAATGGCTGGGGAAACCCAGCCAGATGGTTGGAGTATAAATAAGAATATTATTATTATTATTATTATTGGCATAGCCACTCATCAGAGATGATGGAATTTGGAGGCCAATAGCATCAGGCAGGTCCACTGGTCCCCAAACCCTGCCCTACAGACCTCTTCTTTTGCTTTCAAGCTCCCCACTTACGTTGGGGTTACACTCCCAGGTACTGCACAAATACGTGACATTGTGTATAGTGGGGAAGACCATCTGAACACCCTCTAAACTTCTGGAAACCTTTGCAAAACCCTTAAAGAAACCAGCAGCACTTACCAGACTGGCATGAACGGTGGCAAAGGTGGCTCTCAGTCTTCCTCATTGCTGGAGAACGACTTGGAAACAAGAAGAAGAGGCCATTTTGGCCCGCTTTGCAGTTTAAATGGATTTATGTAATTATTTCCTGGTGCTGCGTGTATACGTGGTCATCCGGGAGTCGACCCTTTGCATTGTGGGTTCTTGAAGCTTGATGGAGCGAAACATCTGTGCCTGACTAATATACTCAGTGAAGCACGTACACAAGTGAATGTACACACACATTTGTGCTTTTGATCATTTTCACGACAGCAAAAGGAGGCCCAAACAGTCTCCCCTGACCTTTCGCATTTGACCCTTGTATAAACGTCTGCAGTGCAGGCTGTGGGAATCCTGGGTATCAGTAAAGGTGATCGGGTTTGCATGGCTGAACGTTCTGCGTTGGGTTATGCCGCCGTTTCTCAGACTTGATGATGGGACTACAACTCCCATCATCCCTGGCCACTGGTCCCGCTAGCTAGGGCTGGTGGGAGTTGTAGTATGACGGGGTATGCTACCCTTCATAATTTCCTGGGGCTTTTTCATTGAGAGCCAGTTTGGTGTAGTGGTTAAGAGCGGTAGTCTCATAATCTGGTGAACTGGGTTCGCGTCTCCGCTCCTCCACATGCAGCTGCTGGGTGACCTTGGGCCAGTCACACTTCTCTGAAGTCTCTCAGCCCCACTCACCTCACAGAGTGTTTGTTGTGGGGGAGGAAGGAAAAGGAGATTGTTAGCAGCTTTGAGACTCCTGAAGGGGAGTGAAAAGGCGGGATATCAAATCCAAACTCTTCTTCTTCTTCTTCTTCTTCTTCTTCTTCTTCTTCTTCTTCTTCATTAAAAGAAGGAAAGAAGCCCCTACATATATAAAAAATCTCTATAGGAGGAAAATCAGAATTCTGCAAGTGATATGTTCAAGTTGCAATATTTTGTTCTGATTCTGATTTGTCCTAAGGTGGGAAAAGGAATTATGCTGCCACTGGAGCCTGGCTCTCTCAACCGAGGAGAGAGATATAGGAGATATAGGAGGAGATATAGGTGATTGTCAGGCTCAGAGAGCATGCTTGCCGTTGGCCACTTATCCACTCCATAGCTGAAACAAATAGTGCAAACAGTTCATCTTCGCTTGTAAAGCTGACATAGGTGATGAGCCTTTGTTCCTGGATTCTTTTGCTTGCAGGAAAATCCACATCAGTGCCCTGTGCCCATTTCGATAAATGATTTGTGTGTGAGCCGTTGTCAACTGATTGTGATTAGAGCAACACGCATAAATTCACTGTCTTGTGTCACAGAGATTATATCTTACACATTGCGAGGAAAAGATGAGAGAGACTTGTACGGAATTTGCACAGGCTCACTTAGTGTGCAAATGCAGAAATATGGAAAACAATTCCTGTAATATAAACAGAAAGAACACCATGCATCTCACCATGGTGAGGAAAAGTGACCTGGGAACCTGCTTACTGTTGACGGGCAACTTCAAGGCGCCTCCTGTTCTCTTTTCTAAAAGTTCATTGTCTTTAAACCAGTCTTGGACCAGTTTGCCTTTCACATAAAGGGCTCTCTTGAAACAGAGGACTATGGCTGACAGCCTCCAAACAGAGGACAGTCATCTGTAAAACAGGACTCAGGCCACCCTGGATAAATTTGTATAGTCAACTGGAAGCAACACCCATGAATTATGTGTGGAAACAGGGCTCTGGGATCAAACCCCAAATTCCTGATTGTATAGCCCAGGAAGAAAAGCCTATGCATATTTTCAAGGGCAAGGCCATAAATATTAAACATAGTTGAAGATGAGCCCAATTAGGATGCTAATTAGAATGGAAAAAACATTTGCCCTTATTAAAGAATGGTGGCTGGCAGGCGTGTGATCAGCAGATTAGATTAGATATGCAAAACAAAGTGCAATGTGGAGATTTCGAATAACTAATTAAAAAAGTAATGAATATAGCTAATGGGCACAACCCACTCATTTATATCCCCACTGGTGTAGCTCCCATTCATTTCAATGGTGCCCCAGCTCCCCAAAGGATTTTGCCCAACAGGTTTATTGCATTAGAACCTTTAGAGCTTGAAGCTGTATGCGTGGCAGGTGGAAGGAAAGGCAAGGTGGAAAGTTATTTACAGATGTGACTTGGGAGATCTGCAGTCACAGAGCTCCTTGATCATCATGGTCTGCTGCCCAAACCCAGCAGATGCAAATCTAATTAGATCTAATTACACTTTCCAAAAAGAATGCTAATTTGAGGCAACGGTGTGCAAGGGTGTCTAAGTGCCTCTTCTGCACAACGTGATTTGTCTCTGATTTCTTAAACAACAAGCTCTTTCCAAACCACCACTTTCGGTTAAAAAAACACAGGTCTCTGGAATTTAGCAATAACAATCACACCTTCTATCTCTGTTTTCTAGTCTTGATTTCTTGCTGCCTGTCCCCAACAAAATCAGCAACCCGGATTTGCTTGTTAGAAATGCTGCTGATGTGAATTGCTTTTGCTGGTTTTAATCTTGGCCTTCTTTTCTGGGTGTCTCCTTTGCACCAGAAATAACCATCAATATGGGTGTAAGAAGGCATCCTTTTCCACCCCGTATTTCTCGCATGCAGTATTGTTTCTGTTTTGCTGCAGTCCTTTCCCTGCCCCAAACTACATAACTCATCTTGCTGTCTGCTGCAACAAAATTACATACCACACTTTTCGCTCTATAAGATGCACCAGACCACAAGACGCACCTAGTTTTTGGAGGAGGAAAACAAGAAAAAAAATATTCTGAATCTCATCTATGCAGTGAAAGCAGCAATCCCTCTTGCTTTTCTGGCTTCTGGGATAGCTGTGCAGCCTGAATTCGCTCCATAAGACACACACACATTTCCCCTTACTTTTTAGGAGGGAAAAAGGGAGTCTTATAGAGCTAAAATACGGTAATTTATGTGCACTACGCAATGCTACTATTAGGTGGATTTGCAGCTGTTGACTGGTGGAACCCAAATAATGCTCACCAACGGTTCTTCACCATCCTGGAGAAAGGGGAAAGTGGACTACCACAGGAATTGAACAGGACCTGCTTTTCAACATAACTGACTTGGATGAAGGATGGACTGGCGGCAGAGAGGACAAAGAAGAAGAAGGGGAAACAGTAATCGTTGTCTATTGTTCCCATTCACCCCTCAGAAATAAGGAGCAAATCTATTCACTGGACCCACTTCTTTTTGAACTGCAACCATTTAACACACAGCTGTGCTCCATATTAACTGAGCTACATAAATTTCTGGGCAGCATTATAGGGCCTGATCTACACACCTGGATTTATGTTTAGAGGTAAGCTCCCCTTGATCATGAAATAACCCCACCCCCAAAAAAACCCTCACATTGAGAGCTGCTTCCTCTGTCCAGGTTCCTTTTTGCTTCGTGGGCAATTCAGGAGCCTTAGCTGTGTGGCGCTGCAGCGCCGCCACCACCTTAGGCCAGAGGGACCAGGTGACTGCAGCTTTCAGCCCAACAGGGACCAGGTGACCTCAGGAGCAATCTGGTCTTCTGCAGCTTGTTGCTCTGTCCACTGAAGCCAGCTTGCCCAACTATATCATCCTTTGCACACAAGGGCAGCAGCAACAGCAGCAGCAGCAGCAGCAGCAGCGAGGGCTGTGGATAAGGATCTGTTTGCCCAGAGCTTTGCCGCCACAGAGAAAGTGCTTCCTTAGTAGGTTTGCAGGTGCAAATATGATCTGGCATACGGTGGGGAGCTTCGATGGGAGTCCTGTGTGAAGCCGCTGCCTGCAGCAGCACTAAAAAGGTAAAGGTACCCCTGCCCGTACAGGCCAGTCTTGCCAGACTCTAGGGTTGTGCGCTCATCTCACTCTATAGGCCGGGAGCCAGCGCTGTCCGCAGACACTTCCGGGTCATGTGGCCAGCGTGACAAGCTGCATCTGGCGAGCCAGCGCAGCACACGGAACGCCGTTTACCTTCCCGCTATTTATCTACTTGCACCCAGAGGTGCTTTCGAACTGCTAGGTTGGCAGGCGCTGGGACCGAACGACGGGAGCGCACCCCGCCGCGGGGATTCGAACCGCCGACCATGTGATCGGCAAGTCCTAGGCGCTGAGGTTTTACCCACAGCGCCACCTGCGTCCACAGCAGCACTATCGGCCCCCAAATATGTTCACATCCGCATGGCTTTAAATCAGCAACAGTGCTGCAGAATGTGCGCACCTCCTGAGATTAGCTGCCTCGGAACATGCATTTTAAATCGCCCCACTGACACAGATAGCATTGCCATGGTAATTAATGCTAACACTGCGAGGAACTGCACATTTAAGGTGGCGGTGGGAGATTTCCTATTTTAGATTCCCTGCTCTTCGGAGGATGGCTGATTTGCTCTCCATCGACAGTGATGTCACCTTTCACAGCATTAATGAAGGCTGCATTTCTAAGGCTGGAGCAGCCTTTTACGTATCGGCATCCGGATTCATTTGGAAATGAGAACAGGCAATGCAATTTAATTTGTCAGAATCATGCGCTACTCCAGAACACTTTGCTTTCATCACACTTTATTTTTCTTTATTAGACAGCTTTTGCCTCTGAATCAGATTCTCAAAGTGGCTAACAAATTAAGATTTTTAAAAAAACCACGATTTAAAACAACATCGAACTGATATACAAAACAATATGATAAATAGCCTCTTAAAGCGATCTCCAGCTTCTGCGATCTTCCAAGCCTTTCTACGCAGTCTTATTAATGAAAATAATAGCTGTAGTTACAGAGGCCATTTACAACAGAATTTAAAGCGGCAGCAGCAGCACCAATGTTAAAAACGCCATGACCAAGTATTAAAATGACGACTAAAAAGTAAATTTACACAGCGATACGGACCAATTCTAAAAAGAGCAACAGGATCAGAAAACTAGATCCCATGGGAACAGAGGTGGGTAATCTTTGGGTCTCCAAGCATGGCCAAAGGGCAGGGAGAAATCTGGAAGCCAGAGGTTCCCACACCTGCTTTAGAAGCCCGAGGTAACAGAAATATTCAATGTGAATCAATTTCTCAAATAGGCTTAAGGTTTTAAAAAGACACCATAAAACAGCAAATCAGTACACAACATAAAATGGTAAAAAGCAGAGCACCGCTCAAAGCCACTTCCAGCATCAGCAACAACCTGCCCATCCAACGCAATGCTGCCTACTCTGATTGGCAGTGATCCTCTGGGATCTCTGGCAGGGGGTCTTCTTCCCTATCACCTGCTACGTGACGCTTCTAGGTGAACTATGCACCCTCCATCCCCACAGTAACCTTACAGTGGAACACAATTATTTCTATTGGGAGGGGATCAAGCAAAGATGGGCCCCAGAGGAGTCAGATTCATGAGTAGGAGAAAGATTTCATTGCAGGGAACATTTCAGACATGCAATTATCGTATTTTTCGCTTTATAGGACGCACCCAACCATAGGACACACCTTGTTTTAGAGGGGGAGGAACAAGAAAAATAATTTCTCCCCCTCTCTGCGCAGAGCCCCTTCAGCGAAGCGGCAGGAGAAACGGAGCCCCTTCCATTTCTCCTGCCGCTTCGCTGAAGGGGAGCTGCGCAGAGAGGGGGAGATTTTTTTCCCTTGTTCTCCCCCTCTAAAACAAGGTGCGTACAGTGTGTTCAAGGTGCGTTCAGTCACCTTCAGTGAAGGCAACCCGAAGCCTCCGGAGCGCAGCGGGAGTTCTTTGGAAGCCTGGAGAGCGCGCTTTCCCCCACCGCCAGCCTCAAAGAGCAGGTCGGGGCTGGCGGGGGAAGCCCAGGTTAACCCCCCCCCCCCCAGCCCCATGGACCACACATTCGCTCCATAAGACGCACAGACATTTCCCCTTAGATTTTAAGAGGAAAAAGTTGCGTCTTATGGAGTGAAAAATACGGTAAGCTGGCAGAGCTGTCACAGAGAAGCCGGTGCAACTTGCAATCAGGTTTGAGGACACAATATAAGTGCCAGGAGAGGCTCCCAAGGGGCACAGAAGAACCTTGGTCCTTCTTGGTCCAATGGGCAGATTTTATCTCTCCCACGCCTGTGGGCCAACTTTGATAGGTGGGAGGAAACACATGCCTGTCAATCAAATGATGTCGCTGTGACTCCAGCTGACTGACACCTGTCAAAGTTCAAAGGGTGCAGCGTTTCCCAGGCACCCCAAAACCAGCTGATCTTGGGGTGTGCAAGAAGCAACTTGCAGAGGGCTGAGCACGTCCTGCAAGTTCTGTGCTTGGCGCTTGAGAAGTGTTCACCCCGGGGTGGCGGAGAGCCTTGTGCTGGGCTTCCAAAGCAACCAACGACCAGCTGGTTAGGAAGAGCAGCTCGAGGAGGTTGTGTGTGATGCCAATCTATGGTGCTAGCAAAGCCCCGTCCTTAACTGATGTCATATATGAAGTTGGGTGTATGGCAGGTATGTGTGGCTTGGCCAAAACAGAGACCACCAGCCATATCCGGTCCCCTGACTGGTCTCCTCTGCAGCAGCCAACTTTGACTCAGCAATTCCCAAACTGGACCAGGGCTCATCAGTGAGAAGATGAAACACATTTGGTACCTTAAAGCAAAGCCAGGACGACTGCCCACAGAGAGCGCTCTGCCCTTGCCTCCTTCCAATGAGCTTTCACCTCCCTTTGCAGAGACATAACAGAATTCCTTCTCTCCGTGGGGGCTGTTCGTTGCATCCCTGTGTGAGTCACAGCTCTGCGCCAGTCTCCTCCCAATGGGGAGGGACAGCCAGATCATCGGCTTATGCAGAAGTGTGTGCTTTCATGTGTCACCTGAAAGGCTAGTAATTCTTACTCCAAAAGTCAAACTTTTGGAGTGCAAGGGGGTGCCTGTGGCGGTTATTGCTCTATCCTTTAACATGCTTTTCCCGCCAGCGGGGTTTGCACAGCGTAATTACACATTACATGCATGTATATGTAGAGTAATCCAAAGGACCTTTTAAGAAAACGAATAAAAGACCCTCTTGCAGTGCATGAAACAGAGGCCAGGGGGCGGGGCGGGGAGGGGGGGAAGCAAGGGCTTAATCCTTCCCTTCCTCACCGTTTTGTCATTCCAAATTGCCCTCCCCAAACAGCTGCTGCTGCAAATGCGTGTCTGTCCCAGCAAATTAGGATTCTGCTCTCCCAGCTTTAGCAGCTTCTATGCTGTCCAGTGTTACGTTCAACCAGTCAATAATGAACTCATGGCTGTCAAGACTGACTGCCAATGGTGGGCGAGGACTTATGTCTGCAGCTGCAAATGATGTCAAATGCTTAACGCCCGCTTTGCCCGGGGTGGGGGGGGGGAGAAAGCAGCAGTTTCCTAATTTCTATTTTTGCGACTCTTTCCTGAAATATATACATTCAGAAAGGGGAAAAAAATCTTATAAATGGTTTGATGGTTGTTGTTGTTTTTAAATGAAATAAAAAATCCCAACCTCACCCCTCCAGAAATCTCAGCAATGGTTATTCTTTTTCTAGCAGCTTTGGGACAACGTTGGTCTGGAACCACATGAAGCTGAAGATGAAGCCCATGGTTTTAGGGAGAGCTTCGTCAAATGCAAAATTCATGCAGTCCTGCAGAGGTATTTCCACCACCTCAATCAGCTCCCCTTCTTGTGGCTGGCCTCCACCTTCGCCGGCTTTCATCTCGTCTGTTACCTCGGCATAGAACAAGGTCTGCTTTGATCCTGACACACCAACACCAGATCTTTAGGGGTGAGAGAGGGAGAGGGGAGAAACCAGTACATATTTAAGGAAACCTTACATGAACACCCGTCAAAATAAGGGCACTCTGCAACTGAGAGGAGAACGACACAGTGTGAGAAACACAGGATGTTGCTGAATGGCAGCCCTGCACTTCTGTAATCTGTAATATATTATTATTATTATTATTATTATTATTATTATTATTATTATTATTATTATTATTATTATTGTTATTATTATTTTATTATATTATTATTATTATTATTATTATTACCATCCAGCTTACACATTTACACCCAGCTTACACAGCTATACTAGAACAAGCTAAAACACAGAAATGCATGAAAATGCAATTAAACACTAAGAGAATTGAAATAGCATAAAAAGATCCACTAAAAACACAGACAATAACAATATAAACATCATGGCACCAGCCCTTTCCTCAAAAACAGTCAGTTCCCAAATATCTTTTGCAGGGGTGCCAACTTGAATAAAATTTTGGGGGGTGGGCAGGTAAGCCCCATCCAACGTAATTGATCGACCAATGTAGCGCATGCACACCATTTGAATGGCAATGCCCATCAGTTGGGGACCCCCCTCAAATATTTTATTGGGGGGAGGGAACCACCAGAAGGCCCTCGGCACTGGACCTCAGTGTCCGGGCAGAACGATGGGGGCGGAGACACTCCTTGTTGTATGAACAAATGAAGTTGTATGAAGAAATCAGCTGGCTGGGTTAAGGCAGACAGTTGCCATTCTGACAGCAGCCCTGCGTTTCTTCTTGGTTCAGAGAAGGGTGGTCAGAATGATCTGGCGGTTGGAGGAAATCCCCTCTGGGGAAATGCTACATTATTTTTGGGTTTTTGGTGAGCCAAGAAGGAGATGATAAAGTTTTATAAACTTATGCATGGTGTCAAATGAAAGGGAGAAAAATCTTCTCCCTAGCTCTTAATACCGGAAATGTAGGCTCCTCCAACAAAACTAATTTGAAGTAGATTCAGGGCAGACAAAATGAATGCAGGATTTAAAGGTATGGAATTTGTTGTAACTGGATGAGGCGATGCCCGCCAACTTGGGTGGGAGAAATTCATAGAGGGAACGTCTGCAAAAGATTATTAGTCATGCCAGCCAGAGGTTCAGTAACATTTGCAGAGGTGCTGCTGTGGACCTTCCCCTGAGACTGGCTACTAGATGGGCTTTTGAACTGATCCGAACTGATATATTTGTGTTCTTATAACACACAGTCTTGGGGTTTCCAGTTCAAAATGTTGCTGCTAATTAATCCATCACAGTTCTGCCACTCTTCCAAGTGAGATTCTCTCTCTCTCTCTCCATCCAGATATATGATGCAATAGGTTTATTTGTCATCCATTATTTCAATTAATTTTGTGTTCTCATTTTGTATTTCTACGTTGTGAACTGCCCTGTGATCTTCAGATGAAGGGCAGTATAGAAATTTAATAAATAATAAATAAATAATAATTATAGTGAAATAATCTACTCTTACGTTTCTGAATCCGTGTTCAAAAATTGACACTTATTGATCCTGTGCTTTTAAGCATACAAACCTTCCAGTCAAATTATGAAATCGATTCATTAATAAAAGGAAATTCAAGCAAATGCACTATGCGGCATCTGAGGAACGTATTATACTGCTTTTATAAGCAAATCCAAAATCACGACGCTCTTTGTACTGCACGCCAATTCCGTGCACACACACAATGGGTAAGCTGATGAGCGATTAAGGTAATTTCCCAAGGTAATTGATTTGGACCTTTACACAGTTCTGAGGTTATAAGTAGCAGGTGCAGGAAAAACACACACACAAAGAATAGAAGCAATTGACACAAAATTATATTATATTATACTATCTGCAGACAGGTGTACTGGCAGGTGATTCCCTCTAATTACAAAGCATGTCATTGTACTGTGGCCATTAACCAGAGCAGTAAGGTTAAAATTGTATTTATGCGAAGATTACCATGGAGAGTACAGCATGAGACAACATTAACTCTACCAGGTATGGCCAGTATACTGTATTTTTTTATGGGAAAACATTAAAAGACCCCATTGGCAAAATTAAAAACAAATGAAGTGAAACCATATGTCCGAAATAATAATAATAATAATAATAATAATAATAATAATAATAATAGCCCACCTATCTGGCTGGGTTCCCCCAGCAACTCTGGCCAGTTTCCAGCACATATAAAAACATAATAAAATTTCGAACATCGAAAACTTCCCAATACAGGGCTGCCTTCAGATGTCTTTTAAAAGCTTTGTATCTCCTTGAGGGCTTTCCACAGGGAGGGCGCCACTGCCGAGAAGGCCCTCTGCCTGGTACCCTGTAACCTCACTTCTTGCAGGGAGGAAACTGCCAGAAGGCCCTCAGAGCTGGACCTCAATGTCCGGGCAGAACGATGGGGGTGGAGAAGTTCCTTCAGGTATACTGGGCTGAGGCCGTTTAGGGCTTTAAAGGTCAGCACCAACACTTTGAAATGGGCTTGGAAATGTACTGGGAAATGTGCTAGATAAGAAACTTCTGGATAGTAAACTGTTTTCTGCTTGAAAACGGTGTACAGATATACATTAGATCAGGGGAAATTGCACTAAAATGGTGATGACTTTCCATGAAAACTATTATTATTATTACTACAGTCATACCTCACGTTACGTCCGCTTCATGTTATGTTCTTTCAGGTAACGTCCCGTGGCGACCCAGAAGTACTGGAAAGGGTTACTTCTGGGTTTCGCTGCTCGCGCATGCGCAGAAGTGCAAAATGATGTCACACGCATGCGCAGAAGCGGCGAATCGCAACCTGCGCGTGCGTAGACATGCCGCTGCGGGTTGCATTCTTTTCATGTTGCGAACGGGCCTCCGGAATGGATCTTGTTCGCAACCAGAGGTACCACTGTAGTATTATTATTACTATTATTACAAAACTGATGTGGAAATTCGGCAAACAAAACTTTTAAGATCTGAAAAATGAGGAATGGACCCTGAGGGATAACTCGGCCATTAGAGCACGAGACTCTTAATCTCCAAGTCGTGGGTTCGAGTCCCACACTGGGTAAAAGATTCCTGCATTGCAGGGGTGGGACTCATAGCTGTCAACTTACAGATTTGAAAATAAGGGACCAGCAGCCTTGGAAATAAGGGATCAGCAGCCAAAATAAGGGATTTTCCGAGCACAGGTATGTTCAACTTCTGAGCCCCTCCAAGCCAAAGGCAGAAAGCCCAGCCAGCAGCCAAACGAAGCCTTAAGCAGTGGTTCCCACAGCGCAGCAACCCAGCAAAGGGGATGCAGCAAGGAAAACCACCATCACCTCTCCGCTGGGAAGCGCTGAGCAAAGGCAAGTTCCCAGGCAACGCGGCCGATTTGATTGGCACAAGGCATGCAAGCTCCACCCCCCAGTCGTTCTTAGACTCCTTATTGGGTGAGCAACGCAGCCAAGCAACACAGTTGGAGCCTCCCTCCTCCCTGGCCGGCAGGGAGGGAGGGAGAGGAGCTGCTTCCTTTGAAACCCGGGAAATTTATGGGATATCATCAATCCGGGACAGCAGCGGGACACAGCGCTGGGATAAGGGACTTTCCTGCCAAATAAGGGACGGTTGACAGCTATGGTGGGACTAGATGACCCCTGTGGCCTCTTCCAACTCTACAAATCTGTGGTTTTGGTTCTGTGACTGGTTCAGCCATCCCTACGCAGCACATAACATGGACTGCCGTTTAAATGACCCTCCAAGGCCTAAGGTATTGGCAGAGAGGGAGGCAAAACTCAAATGTAAAAGGGGAGGGGGCTGTGACTGGTGTAGTCTTGCTTCTTCTGCCTGTCCCCAATCTCTGTAGGGACCTCCTGTTCTTCTATTTGCCTCAAAAGAGCAAACCCAGATGCATCCATAATTATCCCCCCCCCCACTCCAAATAACATTGACGGAATGATAATACAAATGCGGGGGGGGGGCAATTCCCAGCGTGTTTACTCAGAAGTAAGCCCCCTTGAGTCCAGTGAGGATTATTCCTAAGTAAGCAGGCCTAGGATTGCAGCCTGTCTTTCACACCAAAGAAAGCACCTTTTCATCTGGGAACCCAATCACATAATCTGGCTCCGAGGAGTTGTAAGAGACAGTTCCTCTGTTCCTCTTCTCCTCCCCCTAGCAAAAGCTCCTTAATCCAGCAGGAAATGACATTTGCCAGGATTGACAGCTGTGGATCTGAATTTAATTCCCAGTCCCCCGCCCCTCTTCTTCTTCTTCTTTCTTAAAGCATGTCAGTGTCCACTTCAATAGAGTTGTCAAGAGGAAAAGCAAATAAAGTTTTCCTTTCTTTTAAAGTCCCAGCTCTCCATACATTTCGACATGCATCTCCAAGTAGGAGAACAGATGCTTCCCCCCCACAAAGCTGCAATCTGGGGAGGCAGAAGGCTCTGAGCACATTTTCATTTTAGATTATTTAATTCTTGACATTTCCTTAATTCCAAATACTAGACGCATTCTGCATACACACAGTTGGCTTCCCCTCTTCGTTCTGGTGGAATTTCAATGTGCTTAAAAAAAAAATCCTTCTAAAATAGTTGGGATTACAAAATGTATCCCAAATTGCAGCTAATAATTTTGATTTAAATCAGCATGTTATGTCCCACGGGCTGGAAAATGATCCACTCCAGTAATTCCTAAATGATCTGCTGGGGCACACCGGTGGGCTGTGTGGAACAAACGAATTAAAAATGCAACTCTCCTAAGTGCTCAGTGTACTTTCTCTAAGGAGGCTGCCTGGTGTGTCTCTGCATGATTTGTTGTTCCGGCACTGCATTCTTTCAATCCACTCGGACAGGAGGTAAGACTGGAGAGGCCTTGGGCTAATAATAATAATAATACTATAGAAGAAATGACCAGATGTTGAGGGGACAAGAATAGTTGTTATATATCCAACAGTGTGATTGTGTCTGTGCCAAAAGAAATGCCTCATATCAGGTAGTTTCCCCCATATCATTTCCCCACCTACTGAGAATTGTAGAGTTGGAAGGGACCACGGGGGTCATCTAGTCCAACCCCCTGCAATGAAGGAATCTTTTTGCCCAACATGAGTGGGGTTCAAACTCGCGACCTTGAGATTAAGAGTCTCATGCTCCATGGGAGTGGGACAAGGGGACACAAGATGGAACTATTATTTTCAGTGGTGGAGCCGTGTCAAACGTGACATTTTAGTTCAGCCCTGAGTAACTCTGTGCAGCTTTGAAGAAAAAACAAAAGGGGAAATAACTTGTCCGGAACTTAGGTGGGCATGGTTAGACTTCCCCACAAACTAATTGCAGGAAGAGATATTATCTCTCCTGTGCAATCCACCTCCTCTTCAACCCCCAAGGAAGTGAAGCAACAGGTGAAGGCAGGTAAAGGGTTCCCTTGTCAGGCTACTATTAAGGAAGGGACAAAGCTTTTATTGCCTTCTCCAGCTTTCTATTTTGTTTGCTTTATGGCAGTTGTTGATGACTTAGCTGGGTTTAGGATGGCTGTTATCTGACTAGAGAAGGGGCATAGCACAGTTAGCCTGCAGGTCTTGGGTTCAATCTTTCAGATCTCCAGATTAAGGGGGAAAGAAAGATCTCAGGAGCAGGGCTAGGAAAGCTCTCTGCCAGAGTCCTTTGAGAGATTCTGGTGGAGAGCATTAAAGAACACAAGCCCATGATCTGGCTCAAAGAGTTGTCAGAGTACCTAACTGTGGGATGTAATCCATTGGTGCAGTCAAATGCTACCTTCCTTATTTCCCTAGAGTGGACACAGGCAGGGGGACATCCAGTCAGTGTAACTTCCTCTTCCACTGGTCTGGAGCATCTTCCCCCTGCATGTGACCTGGAAGATGGGCATGGCTCTGGCTGATTCCATAAAAGAGCCAAGTCACGCAGCCATTTTCTCACTTGCAGTTTTGTCTCTTGTTTGTTTTAATACTGCTGTTGTCTTGTTCTTACCTTTTGCTGCCATGCTGCTGTCCTGCAGCCATTTTGTTCTATTAATGTAATTTTGCTGTCTGCTGGCTCTCAGCCAGCAGCACCTGAGTTCAGTCTCCACATGAGATGAACTCACAGTTTCTTTGTGTAACTACCAAGTAAAGCCTGCCTTTCAGGGATCAAATCGTGAACTGAAATGTGAGTAAACTTTTTGTTACTTTACTCAGAAAGACTCTTGTGTCTTTATTCTTTTAAGAGCGATCAAAGGGGACACCAGGAAAGAAACTTAACTAAGAGATTCAAATGAATCTGCAAACTAGCTTCCAGCTACATTGAGGGGAATCTGCTCTGCTACATCACTTACTAGCGTCAGTGAAGGAAGGATAATACTTATTCAATATATCCTTTCCTACTATCCTTAACATTCCCACACTAACAGCATGTTCGGGAAATGTTCGGCTTGTCTGATTTCATCAAGGTCTACCCTGCCAGCTGCTCTCCGAAAACCACCAAGCCCAGATCGACTTACCTGCACGAAGTAATTTTCTTCAGGCTGGCTGTAGGGATCTCATACCCACACTCTTCCAAGACTTCCATGCAAGCTGTCTCTTCCAAAGAGAGCTCTGGCTTGTCTACAATGCCAGCGCAGAGCTCATAGGTCACTCCTGTTGAAGCAGGCAAGTGACCTGGCAGAGGGCACCAGCTCCCCTGGTTTTCACGTTCAAAGACTTGAGGGCAGAGCCGCTCCATCTCACACATGTAGACAGCTGGAGGGGGGAGGGGAAAGGTAAAATGTAAGACTCTGGCACTCACCTGACCTTAACGAGAGATAGTCAAGCCATCACACCAATCAAAGACCTCCGGCCTCTATTTATTTATTATAAGATGCATGTTATTACAGTTGCACTTAGAAGTCCCTGGTGCATTTACTGTGCTGCATTGTTTGAAAATAAGTTTGTGTGTGGACATCCAATTAGTGCTAATTAGCAGAACAGGAGAGACCCTGCATGCTTTATAAAGATAGATTCTCTCCCCGTTCCCCTTCAGCATTACTTCTACTTTTGGGAGCAACTTCTGTCTCAAGGCAACTTCCGTTTGCCAGCCAACATTTCACAGGATTCATTGATACTCGCTGGGATGTTGGGCTGTACATGATGTACCATGTGCGCAATGACGAGTGTTTCAGCCTGTCAACTCAGCTGCTGTTTCGGCAGAGTTATGAAAAGCACGCGTGTTTGTTTGAGAAAGCCCTTTTTGAGCACATAGTAACCCCCCCCCCCCCCGTGCAGAGTGGATTGCGGAGTGGAATTTGCAAAAGACCTTTTGCATTAATCTAGAAACAGCTGTTGCGGTAATACTCTCCTAAAGGAAATGCTAAGAGCCATGTAATACCATCAAAGGAAACACAAAGCGCTGGATTCTGCACGGTTGATCCGGTCTATGTTGGCGTGCAGACTGCCAAAAGGCAGGCTGCTGCGACGAGAAGCCTTTGTTTCAGGAAGGCCACCTTTTTTTCTCGGCCTTGCTTCTTAGCCTTTAATGGCAGCTTGGCAATATATAAATTAAGCAGATGAAATCTGCCATGCCGTGGGGATAAGGGGTAGGTCACACCTACATATAGGCTGCCACGAAAGGATTGGAGTTGGCCCAAAGAGTGGGGGTCCTTTTTAAAAAGTTGGTGCAAAAAGGTGGGAGATGTCCCAGGTGAACAAAAACAAAGCGAAAGGAAACTCCTAGAATTGGAAGGTCTACTGAGGATCAGGTCAATTCTGTGTCCAGGGCAGCTGTCTACCAGCTCCATCTGGTACACAGGTTGAGACCCTATCTGCCCGTGGACTGTCTCGCCACAGTGGTGCATGCTCTAGTTATCTCCTGCTGGGACTACTGCAATGCACTCTATGTGGGGCTACCTTTCAAGGTGACCCGGAAACTACAACTAATCCAGAATGTGGCAGCTAGACTGATGACTGGGAACGGCCGAGACCATATAACACTGGTCCTGAAATACCTACATCGGCTCCCAGCACGTTTCCAAGCACAATGCAAAGTGTTGGTGCTGACTTTTAAAGCCCTAAACGGCCTTGGCCCAGTATACCTGAAGGAGCGTCTCCATCCCCATCGTTCTGCCCCGACATGAGGTCCAGCACCGAGGGCCTTCTGGCAGTTCCCTCGCTGCGAGGTTACAGGGAAGCAGGCAGAGGGCCTTCTCGGTAGTGGCACCTGCCCTGAGGAACGCCCTCCCAGCAGATGGCAAGGCAATAAACAACTATTTTACTTTTAAAAGACAACTGAAGGCAGCCCTGTTTAGGGAAGTTTTTAAAGTGTGACATTTTAATGTATTTTTGATCTTTGTTGGAAGCCACCCAGAGTGGCTTGGGAGACACAGCCAGATAGGCAGGGTACAAATAATAAATTATCATCATCATCAAGTCCAACCCCCTGCAATGCAGGAATATGCCTCTGTCCCATACAGGGATCGAACCTGCAACCTTGGCATTCTCAGCACCAGGCTCTAACCAACTGAGCTATCAAGCACTCCGCAAAAGGCAGCTGCTTTCTTTAGTGGGTCACACATTTCGAAGCCTAAATGGTTAGGACTAGGGAGTCTAAAGCATGCTTGTAAGTAAGCGTAGTGCACCCTATTGGCCTGGGATAGCTCAGTTGGTACAGCATGGGACTCTTAATCTTGGGGCCATGGGTTCGAGCCGCACGTTGAGCAAAAGATTCCTGCATTGCAGGGGGTTGGAGTAGATGGCCCTTGGGGTTCCCTTCCAACGCCACAATTCTATGATTCTACAACTCACCAGAAAGGCTAGTGCATCTTCCCCCATCTCCGTCACAAAATATTACGCCACAGGTATTCAAAGGCCCACCTGCTTTTTACTGCTAAAGCCCCTCAAAAGCTGTGCTTCATTGGAGAGCAAGAACTAAAAGCAAAGAAAGGGGATTACCTGGACGGAACTGCTTCACCACAACAAAGCACCGCCGAGAAGTATTAAAGATCAGGATGGCCACGCTGAGGAAGAAAAGAAAAGCACAAGGGAGGAGGAAACACAGATCAATGCACTTGCAAGCAAGGAGGCATCCCTAGGCTTTAATGGGTTTAGGGGCTTGGCCTTGGAAGGCAGGATGAGCTAGCCACACAAGCTAAGGACACAGTTGTTAAATTCATGATCTAATTTTGGAGATAAGTCTCTGGCACGACTCTATGTTTCCACACACCAACTCAGGTAGAATAGAAAGCTGTAGAGTTGTCTGGACACATAGCATGCAATAGTACTGGGGACGGATGGAAATTATAGTTATAATGACCCTAAGTGGGACTGCAAGAAAATGTCATGGTGTGGCTCCTGTCCAGAGTTCCGGTCAGCCACACCCACTTCCAGGACTCCACCTTTCTGTTTCCTGTTCCCAGCATTCCATGCTCACTGAGCATGCTCCATCCTCATGGGACGGCTTTTCCAAGCAGCTGCCCCTGGTTCTTTTTCCTAAATATTTTTATGCTTTTTCTGCAGACCTTGCAATTCCCTTGTGCCTAGTGATATCGTTTCTTGGCTGCATAAAGACCCCCAACTCTTATACAATCAGTACATCTTGTAGGGTATGAAACAGAGGCTTGGTTGCTTGAGACTTCCATCATATGCCAGACCGCCAACATTTTCGGCATGTTGAAGCAGTTGCCATCAACAAAAGAAATGGCGCGTGTATGACTGGCATATCAGTTAGTCATTTGGGACCATCTTTGCTGATTTCTGTGAAACTTCTCTGGAGCAACTGTTGTCACTCTGACGCACAGAAGTGAACAGAAACTTATATCAAGATGGGCAAGAGGTTCCGGCAGTTATTTTACATCAAAGACAAGAAAGCATCAGAGACAGTTGTGGTCAAAAAGGTTTGCAAATAATCACTGAAGAATTAAATAATCAAGAAGCTTCATCTTATTAATCAAATTGTTCCCTATCACGTTAATAATAAGTAATGATCAAAATGTACTTACTTATTTCATAAAATGTACGCAATGCTTGATTGCAAGAAAACTCAAAGAGGTATACACTATTTGAGGCTATAGAAAGCTTTTAATATTCTCCTTTTCTCCGTCTTTCTAAATTCATTTCCCCAACTGACTCTAAATAACATCCCTTAACCAATTCTAAGTGCCTTGGAATTATCTTGTCAATCTCAAGAAGCCCTTCACCAGTAGTCTAAAAGGCCTAAAAGCATTGCACATGCAAAATGGCTAAGAATTGGAGGCTACGACACTTAACACAAATTATGCTGTGAGCAACACACACACACACACACACACATTTCCTCTCCCTATAATATGGGTTCAGTGTAAGTTATGGCAGTTTCTGGAAGGCAGACAAATAATTGTGTATCCGAGGGTGACATGATCTATACAAAACCCAGCCCAGTCATAAAACTGCATAAAAGTAAGATCCACTGAGCCCAGAGCGACTTTCCTCCCCAAGCACAGATGGGACAAAATGAAGGGCTGACGAATTTCCACCCTCACAACCTGTTCTTCCTCATTTCCCTTTGGAAATTGGGAGGTATAAAGCTTCTTACAAATTTTTTCCATGCTTTTTATATGGAAGAGATTTTATCCTGGTTTTTCTAGCCGGATTTAATGCCAACTAACTGTCAAGCATATTTGTTAATTGATGTATATATTAGAGTTCCATGATAACTTGTTGACTACCGAATATTAATTTTGACTGATACCTTGCCCTGTTTCAAAGACCCAGGAATCTGTTCAAGGCGACTGAAGGGTTACGGAGAACATAAAAGAGAGAGGTGATTATCAAGGAGTTATACAATACCATAGTGCTGAGAAAGCTTGTCTTTAATTCTTCATCTGTGAGATTTGCACAATGTGAAATGTGGTTATGTTTGAGATTATTAAAATTAACCACAACCTTAATAAAAATAAAAAGCAGCCTCCATAGCACTGCATTTCAATGATATTGTTTTGCCTGCTTCCTCCCTCCCCCCACCTTTCTGCCTCTTCTATCTGTCTCCCAAAGGCAGAAACACTGGGGTAACCCCCAGTGTTTTTTCCTTATAAAAAACCCCCACTATGACATGGGGTATTGCTTTCTATGAGCCAAATCGGTAATAGCCTAAGGACCTGACCACGCATGAATCAGAGTCTCCAATAACTGCAGTCCATTCAGTCTCCCAAAGGCCCCCAAGCTGTCGAGAATGAATGAATATGGGTGTCAACACAAGCAATACAATTTGCTTGCTTATGATTCTAGTTGAATTCTGCAGAGTGCAAACAGGGGTAGAGGCAACTGCCCTACGAACATGTCGCCTTCCTACACAACAGGTAGCCTGCATAGTATCTCTCAGGGATGCAGGGCATTTGGAGAGGAAGTCATGAATATTGTCACGGCAAGAGGCACATCCTGTCTCATTTTGCCCCCAATGGCCAGTGAGAAGCCAATGACAGAACCTGAGAAAAAGCTAGGAAAAATATTTTCCACACATAGACGGGCCAGAAATGGCAAAACGATAAATTTCGAGGGGAGGGTTAAAACCATCCGATGAAGTATTTTCTCTTTCGGAATGAGGAACAAAGGCTTTTAAAATGAAATTTTGCAATATTGCTGCTGCTTCCGACTGGATGGCTAAGCAAGCAACACTCTTAAGGCGATGCTGGAAAAAGCATTTCCAAATATTGTAGAATGCAGAAGATCTTCAGGTTTTAAGCCTCGGAGTGCAGTCTGGGATTATGAGAAGCAAACAAAGTAATAAAGGAAATTTATGGATCATAAGAAAGAAATTCTTGCCAATATTTCAACTTCTCTCAAAGATGGGGGGAGGGGCTATACTCTCCCCCATAAATGGCTGCATAGTTTTCAGAAATTTTGCATATCTGATCTCACAGAGGAGTTATGTGCCTCTCAAGGGTTTTTAATATGTGTTCCTGCTTTTTATCACAGCCATAATGATTGGATACTACACGAGTAATACATTTTCAAAAGGCTCGCGAAATTAGAATTTATATTCTAACAAAGAGAAAGAAAGAGAGAATAACGATGACTTGAAAACGAAGTACCATGTGTCAACTCACTGAAGAATGGGTTATTATCCCCCCCCCCCGATTCAGTCCACAGAACAGATGGAACAATCAGAACCAAGCTGTCAAAGTTAAGGAACAAGATCAAATTAAACTTGAATGGAATAGTGTTTTCATTACAACTGTCTCCTTTCTGTGCCATCTTGAGACAACAGGGAACGCTGAAACACGGAAGATTTGTGAAACTTAACAAAGTATCTGCAAAAAGCCAAATTAGTTGTTAGTTCAATTAATAGTTTAGCTTCCTTGAACACTGATGAAAGGGGTTTTCTTGTTCTAAATTGGAAATGTTTGTTTACCGTCAGATATTTAAGGAGGTTGAGAGAACTAGGCTTCAGATAATTTACTTTCAGTTTCCCTTAAAAGTGGCAAGCCCTTGTGAACCTGGGGGGGGGGGGTTAAGGCTTATCACTAACTCCAGGCACTGGCAGAGGAACGGGGGCAGAGGGAGCGCACCGGCCCCATTGGGGGGGGTACCGTCATGGCCGCCCCCACCACGCGCCACACCCCCACCACGCCCCCAGGACGCGCACCAGCCACGCCCCCGCCTGCTCTCCGCCCCCGGTGCCAGAGCATGCAGCTTCGCCACTGACTCCAGGCGAACTTCAAACCATGGTTTATGGAAACTAGCTTGTTCAAACAGCTAATTGTAAACCAATGCCCCCTGTTCTCACACTATGACAAGCTGAGTTTAAGGGAAACAGAAGGTAAATGCTGCCCAGTCCTTCTCCTAGCTATGTCGGAGGAAGGCGCGGGAACTGCACAAGTCTGACGCTTGCTTGGGCTCATTCCAGCTCAAGCGCATCACACTAAACCATGGTTTAGCGCAATATGCAAACACACCTGCAGAGAAACTTCGTTAGGCTGCCCAAAATATCAGACAAATGAGAAGATAAATGGGGGGGGGGAGATAAGTAATGGGCCTGCTCATACCAGCTTCCATTGGCTTTTTCTTTTTTTTGGCCTTGGCCTTGTGGTTGAACACTTCAGCCCAGTATACCTGAAGGAGGGTCTCCATCTCCATCTCCATCGTTCAGCCCGGACACTGAGGTCCAGCTCTGAGGGCCTTCTGGTAGTTCCCTCCCTGTGAGAAGTGAGCTTACAGGGAACCAGGCAGCGAGCCTTCTCGGTAGTGGCCCCCAAACTGTGGAATGCCCTCCCATCAGATGTCAAGGAAATCAACAACTACAGTGATACCTCGGGTTCCATACGCTTCAGGTTACATACGCTTCAGGTTACAGACTCTGCTAACCCAGAAATAGTACTTCGGGTTAAGAACTTTGCTTCAGGATGAGAACAGAAATTGTGCAGTGGCGGCGCGGCAGCAGCGGGAGGCCCCCATTAGCTAAAGTGGTACCTCACGTTAAGAACAGTTTCAGGTTAAGAACAGACCTCCGGAACGAATTAAGCACTTAACCTGAGGTACCACTGTATCTGACTTTTAGAAAACATCTGTAGGCAGTTTTTAATGTTTGATGCTTTATCGTGATTTTAATATTCTGTTGGGAGCCACTCAGAATGGCTGGGGAGGCCCAGCCAGATGGGTGGAGTATAATTAATAGATAGATAGATAGATAGATAGATAGATAGATAAATAGATAGATAGTGTCTCTTGTTTGGCAATAAGACCTCAGCATCTGTTGTCCTCTCCCCAATGAGGGAGGCTTGGGGAGGATAGTGAAGTCTAGCATGGGGGGTGGGGCTAGGTAGTGAAAGTGTGTGTGTGTGTGTGTGTGTGTGTGTGTGTGAATGTCATTTTGATGCGGGAGACGCTCCAAGGGAGCAACGCACAATTAGGAATACTGTACAGCCAGGTTTTGGGGGGCAGAGGCATGTTTGCATTTTAATGGACGTTGAACCCTTACCTGACAACACAGTAACTATTTTGGTGCTACGTGGATTCCAGTTGTCCTGGATTTCTTCGGATAATGAGGGGGCTTTCACCATTGGATAGTGTACACACAAACATTATTAAAAGGTTTATTTGAACAAATGAAATGACTTTATATTTCCCCCCCGTATTGTAGTGACAACATATTTGGCACCATAATGGACGAAAGATTAGATCCAGCCACTGTGTTGTGTTATGGGAATGCCTAAGCAGAACACAAGGGCAGGAAAAGAGTAGAGTCTCCTTGGAATGTATGAAGCATACACAAGAATTTAATCTGAAATTGACATCAAAAGGCCCCGAACAATAGGTCTCATGTGCAAACATGCCAGAAATGCATACAATTTGTTTTTGTTCTTACTCCCTCCCTGGAGAATACAGTCAACAAAACTTTGTTTCGGGTCCATTGGGATGCTGAGAGACGACAGAAAGAGCCGATGGGAAGAGAAAACTCCTTGGGAAGTGAGGGTGCCTCTGACCTGCATATACTGCTCCCTCACTTGCAAAGGCTCGCCCGTTCAAGTCAAGAGAATATCCCTTTGGCCGGAGCAACTCCTCCTCCCCCCATGAATCCTGCAAACTCAGGAGATCAGTGCTCGCACCAGAGAGCTCAGAGGAGAACTGCAATTGCTCGAGTCACTGAGTCAGGGATCCCAAAGCTTGAACCAGCAGATTTGACCCTGACTGAGTGCTCGTCTGGGAACTTTGTTCCAGAAACTATGCTTCTCATCAAGGGTTTGTGATACGACGGCATTGTCATCTTGCAATGCTCCACCCTCTGAGACAGCCAATTGCTCCAAGCAGCTCCCAGCAGGATAATACTTCTGGAGTAGCATGCAATCCTTTACCCTGAGCAAAGCCACTTCCGCCTTAAGGAGGAGGTGGGGTTGTGGCACTCACGACCCCTTCATGTGCGCAGGGGTGTGGTCAGCCCTGCGCGAATGGGGGGCTCCGGCTGTGTCACTCCCAGGCTGACCAACCCGGTTGGTCTGGAGGTGTGGCCCGCTCAGTTTAAATGGGAAACAGCCGGGAGATCTCCTCTTTCCTCTCTCACCAGCTCCTGTTTTTAAAACAAACAAAAAAATACTTTTATTTTGCTTTAAACAAATACAGATAAAGTGGTACCTCGGGTTAAGTACTTAATTTGTTCTGGAGGTCCGTTCTTAACCTGAAACTGTTCTTAACCTGAAGCACCACTTTAGCTAATGGGGCCTCCCGCTGCTGCCGCGCCGCTGGAGCACGATTTCTGTTCTCATTCTGAAGCAAAGTTCTTAACCCGAGGTACTATTTCTGGGTTAGCAGAGTCTGTAACCTGAAGTGTGTGTAACCCGAGGCACCACTGTAAATATAAACAACCAAAATTACAAAAGAAAAATCCTTACTAATAATAATAATAATGAAAAAAGCTAAAAAACTACAAAAAATTCCAAGTACATGGCATACAACATAAGCCATTATGGGAAAGAAAAAAGAAAAAAGGAAAAGGAAAGAAAAAGGAGGAGGAGGAGAAAAAGAAAAAAAGAGGAAGATGAGCAAAAACACAAGAAGGCTCATCTACTGTACGCTTCCGTCAAGGTCACAACAGATCATTATTCTTATCAATTCTATCGGCATTCCATAGAATCCCTCATCTTGGTATCAGGGAACATTTCCCTATACAGTATCATTCTAAACATAACCAGGTCTTTCTTGATGGACCCTTATCCCCTAGATAATTATTTAACAGCTCCTGTTTTTCCTTGCTCGTGGATCTCCTCCGTTGGATCTCTTCCGCTCCCCGTGTTGGCTGCCATTCCTTCTGGGCTTGGTACAGTGGGCAGTGTTGACAGCCTCTCTGCCAGCTTCCGTGAGTGATCTATTCCAAGGCACGTTTACAGGTCGGCTTTGGGGGCGCAGTGCTGCTCTCTGTTCCTCGCTCTAGCAAGCTTTGGAAGGCACATTTGGGTGACCATTTGGGGGTTGATCAGCTGAGAGGCGCAGCACAGTTCTCCCTGCTTTGTCTTGCTTTGTGTGTCTGTGTCCTATCACTGATGCTCGACTTTTGTTCCCTTCTTCAATTCTTACTCCTTTCCAGTCTCATGGGTGGGCAGATTCCATTTTAGCTAGTAATGGTAAAAGTAAAGGACCCCTGGATGCTTAAGTCCAGTCGAAATCAACTAAGGGGTGGGGAGCTCATCTCGCTTCAGGCCAAGGGAGCCGGCGTTTGTCCGCAGACAGCTTTTCCGGATCATGTGGCCAGCATGACTAAACTGCTTCTGGCGTACAGAACACTGTGACGAGTGCCAGAGTGCCCGAAAAAGCTGTTTACCTTCCCAATGCAGTGATACCTATTTATCTACTCACACTGGTATGCTTTCAAACTGCTAGGCTGGCAGGAGCTGGGACAGAGCAATGGGAGCTCACCCCGTTGCATGGATTTGAACCGCCAACCTTCCAGCTGGCAAGCCCAAGAGGCTTGATGGTTTAGACCATAGCGCTACCTGCACCCCCATATTAGCTAGTGACCTCAGCAAGCCTTTGACATTGCTTCCTGCAAGTTTCAGATGGGCCCTTGTGATTGACCTGATGCTGCCCTGACTTCATATCCATTCTTTTCCAGCACAGATGAAGAATCAGTGCATCTCACTTTGTTGTTGTTCTTTAGTCGTTTAGTCGTGTCCGACTCTTTGTGACCCCATGCACCAGAGCACGCCAGGCACTCCTGCCTTCCACTGCCTCCCGCAGTTTGGTCAAACTCATGCTGGTAGCTTTGAGAACACCATTCAACCATCTCATCCTCTGCCGTCCCTTTCTCCTTGTGCCCTCCACCTTTCCCAACATCAGGGTCTTTTCCAGGGAGTCTTCTCTTCTCATGCGGTGGCCAAAATACTGGAGTCTCAGCTTCAGGATTTGTCCTTCCAGAGAGAACTCAGGGCTGATTTCCTTCAGAATGGATAGGTTTGATCTTCTTGCAGTCCATGGGACTCTCAAGAGTCTCCTCCAGCACCATAATTCAAAAGCATCAATTCTTCGGCGATCAGCCTTCTTTATGGTCCAGCTCTCACTTCCATACATCACTACTGGGAAAACCATAGCTTTAACTATACGGACCTTTGTTGGCTAGGTGATGTCTCTGCTTTTTAAGATGCTGTCTAGGTTTGTCATTAGAGCTCTGCAAACTTTGCCCACAACCTCCCTTGACTTGGATCTTGATTTTGCAAGCACTCTTGGCAACAGCAGCGGGCAGGAGTTACCTGCAACCCAATGTATGACAGTTTCATCGAATTTCATTTTCTTACCCTCTGCTTGAGGATGTTCCACCCAAACATCAGAGGATCTCATTAACAGAAACCATTGCCAGAAAAAGAAATCTGAATGAGACAGTTATATCTTTATAAGCTACTGAATTACTGGTGGTGGGGACGACGACCAGTTGCAGCACAGTCCTAACCTTGTCTACTCAGAAGTATTACTGAATTCAATGGTGCTTATTCACAGGTTAGGACTACAGCCTTCGTCTCAGGATAAAACTGGATGTAGAGCTAAAACAGTCCTTTACACTAACTCTCAAGTGTTGAGATTGTAGAAGCACCGAGTTGGTTGAGTGGCGACTCAAATGGAGAAAAGCCAGGGGGAAAGGGAACTGGTAAAAAGCAAAACAGAGATTCACTAACTTCTCAACTACAACCAATGCACAGTTTTTGAAGAAGGCTACTAAGAACAACACACTATAAACGTTCAATGTGATAAATGGAGTGACATTAACGTCCTTTAATCAGGCAGGCAGATCAAGCGGCTTAGGCAAGAGAAAACACAGCCACTCAACTCCAGGGCAGTTGCACTAAAGCTACAGCCTTTTGATTATTTTCTGGTGCAACCCCTTTCCTTTCCCAGAGCTTTAACCATTAATGCAGGCAGGCCCTGGATTAAATGTGGGCACGCCTGCACAATCTTTCGTTGGCTCATTGAGAGCTCCTTCAAAGCGTGCTGCATCTCGCTCCCCCCACCAAAGGCCAATGCCATTCCAAATGGCTACTTAAGATGCAGCCCCTCAGAGACGCAAAGCCATAAGCTCTTGACAAAAACACTCAGCCTTTCCTACTAATAGCCAAGTGGACTCTCTGCCCCTCAAAAAGGAAGACAATTAGAGAGGTCTAAAAGGCTATCCCTAAAGAAATGGTTTTTGCAACACCCTCCCAAAAAAAGAAATTCAACATGCAACGTACATTTTTAAAAAATGTATTACAATCGTAGATTTGCCAAGTACATTTTAACTTTTCTGCGCCGATACAAAACACTACTAACCTGACGTTGTGGTCAAAGGGCTCCTTTCTTTTTTAAACCACAATCCAGTAGCAGATATATTTGGCAATGACTCTTGTTTGACGCAAGTGCTACGAGATTATATTGAGGTTTGTAGCTTATTGTGCAGGAGTAAATTTATAACAGTGATGGTATTTGGGGTCTTAAGGACCTCAATCTTAATTTATATGGGGTACTAGAGGCCTAATTCAAACAGAACAACAAATCCCCCTCTTTTTCCACACTTGACGGGAGAAAGTTTAAACCAGAGCTTTCCAAACTTTTCATGTTGGTGACACACCTTTTAGACATGCATCATTTTGTGACACAGTAATGCAGTTTTACTAACAAACCGGAAGTTAAACTAACCCCTTTCCAGCCCTGGGAGGAGCGCTGGGAGCGTTCGTGCAACACACCTACATACGACAGCCGACACACGAACGTGTCACGACACACAGTTTGGAAAACTCTGGTTTAAACCATTCAGTTTGTAGAGAACAAACTACGGTTTACTGGTTTTTAATCTGAATAAAGGAAACTATGGTTTATGCACAACATAGTTACTCAACAAACCTATATATCAAATCACTGTATCCAGCAAAGTAGTGGGGGGGGGGCACAGTTTGCATTTCACTTCAAGATTGGGCCATGGACTCCTGATACCTTCTTCCTGCAGTTTTCCATTTCACTAAATACCTTCTGGATACATGAATAAAAAATACTGAAGCATTAACACCTCCTTATCGGAAATCCTGCATCAACATAAAGTAGGAATAGCAATGCTATAATCAAAATTATAATATAACCTGCAATAAAGGATGTCTCTCCTCCCAAAGAAGGCACTCTTAACTCTCCAATTGTTTGACTTCACCCCTGAAGGCACACTCTTCCAGTGTTTCCTGAGACAGACGGATGCCAAAAACAAATCAAAATTTTTAATGCAACCCCTGCAATAACTTAATTACAGTGGTTTCCTGCCCCTCATTAATGTTAACTGAAGCCTAAATGATTCCAAAACTCTTCTAGTTAAACATTCACATTGCGTGTGTGTCCATGTATCTCTGTTGAAACACCACAGAACCCCTTTATTGTACAAAACATGCATAAAATATGAACTAACAAGAGCAAAATGAATTTTTTTTTAATATGTATATATTTATGCACCTACAGGGTCATTTGTGCATAGGAAGGTTAAAACAACAACAGCGTGAATTGGGGGGGGGGGGGTTGTTACTTTAGCAAGATATTCCTTGTGACGCCACAAGCAACAAGCCCTGCTCCTTTAACAATCAGCCTTGCAAGAGAATGAGGAGTAGCAATAATTTTTAAGGCGTAATAACAATCCCAGAAGCATCTATCTTTGAAACATAAACCACAGCTACAGATTATTACATTGGCTTGAGCTGCCTACGGCGTTTTATTTAATCAGTGTATAGAAGAATGAGGTGCCGAAGGACATTTTTTAAAACAAACAGACGCTCAGCAACATGGGTTTGTGTGTAATAATGGATAAAATACAGAGTGTAAGAAATTAGGCAACAACAAAAAAGGGAAGTGGGCTGTCGGGCCAACATTTTGTATACAATACACCGCATCAGTCACAGCATTTTAAAGTACAATATACTGTCTCTCTGTGTGAGATACTTTGGCCCACATCCCAGGATCCGCAAGGCAAGGAGACCTTACTGTTCCAAATCATTTTAAGGCGGAGGCGCAGGGAATATTTAAATAAAATTTGAAATCTATTGTGCTTATAGCTTCACTCAGCTTTTTTTTGGGGTGTTGCTTGTGACACGTGTTGCAATGACCTTTGATTATGTGTAAAAACTGTCTTGCCACCCCCACCCTCCAATGCATTACGTTAACACTCTAACCCTGAAGGAATCCAAAACTGCGATGGCACACAGAACAACTTGCACTGGTTGCCACGATGGCAGACCCGGTCTCCTGCCTGCTGGTTGCAATCTGTGCAGTGCATGTGGAGACAGCTTTTTAGAAACTAAGGGTGTGCCGTGAACGCAAGATTCACCTTGTGTCTGTTTTGGATCTGCTCTGTGGTGTTCCAATTAGATTTGTTATTTGGGTGACAATAATTCACTGGGGATAAAAACTAGACCAGTCCATCAAAGCAAAAGATCCCTTCTTTTCCTCTTTACTCCTTCCCCTTTTGAATGCTAGTGTTTCCCCAATGAGTCTGGCTTAACTTCTCAGAAAAGGGATGGAAGAAAAGTTTGTGCATCTAACTTTCTGGATAAAGCAATGCCACAAAGTGACTTGGAAGTTTAGAGCATCCCTGATCCCACTCACGGCATCTTGTCAATGGTGCAATCCAAGGAACATGATATCATTATTCAATTCACCCTGGTTTGCCTCATTATGCAGGTTAACAAAGAACCACTGCAGACCCTCAGTAGAAATGATTTTCATGTGGTCCGTTGACAAAACACCTTAAACTCTCTCTAAGAGTAATTCCTAAGCTGTGCACACTAGTGTGCCATGAAAAAGTAGAAAGATGGTAGTTGCCTTAATTGTCCATTTGCCTATTCTGTTGTCTACTCTGACTGGAAGTGGCTCTTCAGTGCCTCAGACAAGGTCTTCCCATCACCTACTACCTGATCCATCTACTTGAATTTTGAGTAAAGGGAAGCAAGCTTCCCATTTTAATTCAGAAAAAGAGAGTACCGTATTTTTCGCTCTGTAAGATGCGCCAGACCATAAGAAGCACCTAGTTTTTGGAGGAGGAAAACAAGAAAGAAAAAAATTCTGAATCCCAGAAGCTAGAACAGCAAGAGGGATCGCTGTGCAGCGATCCCTCTTGATGTTCTGGCTTCTGGGATAGCTGTGCAAAGCCTCTTCAGGGCAGCGGGATGAAGGCTCCCCCTGCCTTGAAGAGCACACACATAAGACCCACACACATTTGCCCTTACTTTTTAGGAGGGAAAAAGTGTGTCTTATAGAGTGAAAAATACGGTATTTCTCAGCTTTCGGAAATCTGGAAGCACTGCCCTATCTTTCAGTCTTCCACCCATCCATATTTTTGTGCCACGATACAATTTTGCACATCCACATCTGCCAAGAGTGGTCATTGCCAGGGCTTTGATGCCAACCAAATCTATGGCAACAGCATAGCTCTGCAGAGTTACTTGCCATGCTGGCAATGGCTGGCCTTTAATGTCCATTCCCCTGAATTTGTTAGTAGTGTAATAATCCAAGGGACCTGGCCTTTAGGACTGGACTCTAACTGAAAATAAATTTATACGCTATAGGAGGGCCAACCCAACAGGCTGTGTTATTTGCTAGCCTCCATCCAACCTGTGGTGCAATGGATGAAAATCTCACCTTTGTCAAAGAGGCATTGTCTCAACCACACAAAAAGCAGATGGTTCCATAAATGCACACCTCAATTCTTCCAGGTGAGCAAGAGGCACCATCATGCTTCAAGGGCACATTCCAGACAGACAAAAGCTCTTGAGAAGTGTGTGGGGCAGGGCTGGGGTGTGGCCTAGGGAAAAGGGGTGTGGCCTGGGGAGAGGCATGGCTTGGGGGAAGCCCAAGGGCTGAGAAGACCCGAGAGCTGCATGTGATTCATTTTAAGGCAGCTCCCTATGTTCCAATTAAGGTCCCGTCCAAAGGATAATTATGAACGTGTGATACATACAAATCAGATAGTTATCTCAGTTGAAAGATATTTGGTTCTTTGGCTCATTCCTCTCTACAAAGGCAGGATGAAATTCATTATTCCCTGCATCATCCTTGATAAAGAGATGTCAAGTCCAGACTCGACCAGCTTCCAAACCCTGCTGATTGCACAACATCCCTTCGCAGCTTGTTCAAAAAGCTTTTCCTTAATGTTTAACCTGAAATGTTCTGTCTTCAGCTTCAGATGTCTACTTGTTCTGTTCGCGGTGGCCAAGGAAGATAATTGATACCTGTCTGTTTTTAAAGATCTCTTTACATGTTTATAAAGAGCACTCGTCTCCCTGTAAGCCTTCGAGGCCCAAGTATGAACAAGCCTCCCTCTTGTAACAATTCCCCTTGTTTGGTTTTCATTCAGCATGTTTGCTTGGTCTCCTTTGAACTCCACCCCCCCCCCCCCCCCATTCAGAATATGTTGAAAATATTTAGCATTACTCAAAGATCCACTCGAGCTTTTTATCATTTTGGCTCGTGTAATTACTGGGCTGCCAAATCCCATTGCATGATGATGGAGAGGTACTTCGGCTGGTACCTCCCACTATGTCCGATAGAAAAGCCTGATTTGTTCAGTTACAGGGCTCTGGGAAGGGCATCATGAGGGCTCTGGCAGCTTATTGGTGACCTTCCCAGAGCCCGGTAAACAAGGAAAACCTGCTGGTGCACAGGTGGGGGGGAATAAATCAATGGAGGACGGGGAATGGTAGGCTTCCCCTGCTCTCCTTTTATTATTTATTCATTCCTCCATCCATGTAAGGTAGTGATCACATATATGTAAACTGAGTGTACGTTGCAGGCCCAGTGTATTCAATGCTTTCAACATGAATTGAGTTCCCAGGTGGGTTATCACATGCACTGGCTATTTTGCAGGGTCTTGTGTGAATTGCATAATACACAGTTCGACAAATAGTGGGAAGGTTGCTGGGGTTTGGAGGCCACCCAGAACCTTTTGGCCTTACAGTATGACAGCAGGAGATCTAGGAGAAGCGCCAGTAACAAAAACAGAACAAAAAGGTTTCCTTTGTGTGCAGCTGTTGTTTAAATTTAGTACTTGAAAAGTTAAAATATGGGTATTTTGTGGCAGCATCCAAAAAGTCGCAATTAAAAACAAACAGACATGATGCATAAAATATGTTGGTCTACAACTGAGCTTTCCAAACTGTGTGTTGTGACACGTGTCGGCTGCAGTGTGCAGGTATGTCATGCGAACGCTCCCCGTGCTCCTCCCAGGGCTGAAAACGAGTGAGTTTAACCTCCGGTTTGCTAGTAAAACTGAACTGCTCATCTAGAAAGTGTGTCACCAACATGAAAAAAGTTTGGGAAGCCCTGGTTTACAGGTTTCCTGAAAGATGTGGGAAGGTTCCTATAATAATTCTTTAAAGCGTGAAGTTTTTATGGAAACATGTTACAGTTTTTTTCTCTCGTTTTGACTCTGCAAAAACTCCCTTTACCTTGCCTCAGTCTGAGGCTTGCCTCTCGTTTTTGCGGGGACTCTTCTGTACGTGATCATTAAGCCCACAAAGGTTAAGGGTGCTATGCCTGAGGGCTGACGTGAAAAAAGTGCGACTCAGACCTCCCAAACCTGCAAAAGGATCTTATGACTTCTTTCTTTTCAGCTGCATATATAGCATGCATTTTAGACACACCTGCATACATTTAAAGGGTGCCAGGGAAGAGTAGCTCTGTAAAGGATAAACTACAATTCCCAGAATTCTTTGGGCATAATCATGTGCTTTAAATTTATGGTGCACACACAGCCTCTGTCAGAGAGCTACCACTCCCAGCACCCTTAACAAACTGCAGTTAACAACACTATTATTATTTATTGCAGGGCAGAGCAAGGGGCAGTTTATAATATACAGTATTTTTCGGCTCATAGGACACACCGGCCCATAGGACGCACCTAGTTTGGGGGGGGAGGAAATAAAGGGAAAAAAATTATTTCCCCCCCAGGCGCGGGGCTGGGGCGGGGGAAGCCCGAGCTTCCCCCGACCCCAGCCCCCAGAACAGACAGCTCTCCACAAGCCGTGGGAGAGCTGCGCAAAGCCCGAAGCCTGGGGAGCGCTGAGCTCAGTGCGCCCCCAAGGCTTCGGGGTGCAGGCAGCTCTCTGCAAGCCGTGGGAGAGCTGTGCAACTTCGCGCAGCTCTCCCAAGGCTTGCAGATAGCTTCCTGAAGCCTGGAGAGCGAGAGGGGTCGGTACGCACCGACCCCTCTCGCTCTGCAGGCTTCAGCGAAAGCCTGCATTCGCCCCTTAGGACGCACACACATTTCCCCTTCATTTTTGGAGGGGAAAAAGTGCGTCCTATAGGGTGAAAAATATGGTAAATTCTTCAGAGGTGGGCATGTGCTTTAAAACTACCTTATGAATGTTATCTTAGAAAGGTGTATTTATCTAGGACAGCAGTGCTGGTTGGTACTGATGGCAGTTTTCATCCAAAACACTTGTAGGTCACCAGCTTGGGAAAGACTGATCTGGTATATGCTCACATTGGCTAATTTAATGAGCTTGGTTCTTTAAAAAAAAAAATGCTCAGTAGTTTCTACCACATGCATGGACCTGGGATTGAAGGCCAAGTAGTTTTGGAATCCTGTTATCTTTAGTGATTACTTTAATTTAGAATATTATGAGCGCATTCAAAATATCTTATTTTGCGATCTTAATGCATCACTACTAAAAAAGGAAACTTTCTTTTAGCATGGTCCCACAGCTTAACGCACTGCGTCACAATTGAGACCGCAAAGGCAACTGATCTCCAGTTGTGATTTTAAAAAGGAAAGGAAAAGAGGAGTAAACAACGTGGAAAGACTAATGAATGAATCTGTAAAAAAAGTAGTACAATGGTTTCAGTAATTCAAATCTCAACATCATTAGCCACAGCCAATTTGACCGAGAGGAGCAACGTCTTTTGCATAGGCGCCAATGAAATGAACATGAGTTTTCAATGCCGGTGGCATGTATAGCTTTGTAATGCAAGGGAGTTGAGTTAATATGTGAGCATTATGTTGCTTGTTCAGTGCATGGAGCATCTGTATTAGAGGCCAGAACAGTTCGCCCGTCACCCACAATCCTTCCTCTAGTGCCTGGAATTGACTGCTTTCAACATTAGAAAAGGATCTAGGGGTCTTAGTGGACCACAAGCTTAACACGAGTCAACAGTGTGATGCAGCAGCAAAAAGAAAAGAAAAGAAAAAAAGCTAGTGCTATTCTAGGTTGCCTCAACAGTAGTATCCAGATCAAGGAAGTGATAGTCCTACTCTATTCTACTTTGGTTAGACCGTACCAGGAATACTGTGTCCAGTTCCAGGCACCACAATTTAAGATGGATGTTGACAAGTTGGAAGGTGTGCAGAGGAGGGCAACCAAGATGATCAAACGTCTGGAAACCAAGTCTTATGAGGAATGGTTGAAGGATCTGGGTATGTTGCCAGGATAAGCAAATCGGGCGACCCCCATGCGTGCTGCACGTTTGAGAAAGGGCAGATTACGAAACTGGTCAAGCCAAGAAATAAATAAAAAAAGAACGCAAGAGGCTTGCAGCGCAGGAGGCATCCACAGTGAGTTCTACCCAAAAATAAAATTGATCTCTGCATTAGCAGTTCCAGATGACAAGCTTAGGGGCCTGGGGTGAAGAAGCCCTTTGTATTCCTACGATGGTAGAAAGGCTGCAGTGCAGAGCAAGATGGCTTGGCACGCTCACAGTTGAATGCTGTGATCTGTAGTCACAAAAAAAGTTGCAGGATGACAGCTGCTGCACATGCGAAGGCAACAAATGTTTTGTGACCAGAGATGACTGGTGTGACACGTGCACCTTATGCAATCATGTAAAACAGCAAGCAGCTATTTTAAAAACGTCCTGTGAAAAAGTCCTTTAAAAACTATAATTGCAAAAAAAAAAACCCCACCCAGCCCTTCTAGAAAACATATTTAGTGAGCTTTTCTCTGTAATCCCCCCTCCTTTAAAAGGCTGCTAGGTATCATAGCCGCAATACTTATGAAGTGTTATATGCTGGAGAAACAATTTATGAAGTTATTATGTTCGAGAACAGCAAGGCGTAGCGAGGTACTGCATTTCCAGCAATTCACTGATCTCTCTAATCCCCCAAAGGAAACCTCTGGAGACTGGCCTCTCTTCTCCAAGCTGAACAGTGATGTTTTTGAAGTGTGTTCCCTGGCTTGGAACTCCCTTCCTCTGTGGGCATACAAACAGTCTAAACCAAGGGTCAAACTAGACGTGACACTAAATGCATCACTTGGAAACACGTCAGGGCTTTTGAAATTTAATAATAGATGCGTGGGAGGCGGGGGAAAGCTTTTTTCAATACAGTATATGGCTAACAGAAGCGTGGGGGGTTTCAATAGGAATGCAGCCGGGAAGGGTTAAACTTACCCTCTCCGTGTGATGCAGCCCCAATCTATTAGTCTATTAATATCACATCTGATTTGGCCCAGAAAGCCAATTCAAACTACTAGGAGGGGAATGAGGAATGGTTCATACAGAAAATGTACTGCGTCAGAATGAAGATTGGGGGGTGGATGGTATGCTTGAATGCATTGCCATGTTTTGAATTTCCCTGTATGGCTAAAACCAACATATCAGCCCAAACCCAAACACATAAATCTCTTCTAGTCTAGCTGAAACCTCCTTTCTGATACACTGTTCCCCTTTGAGAGGATGGTATAAGTGTCAGACCTTTCACAGAGATTTGCTGTTTGTACACAACCAAATGGATGCATGGATTAGATCAAACTGGTTAAGAGACTGAACTATAATTCAGGAAATCTCTGGTTTGAATTTTGCCTCTGCTGTGAATTTACCAAATGTCCTTAAGCAATACTCTCTCTCTAACTCTTAGTTTATGCCAGGCCTTAAAGGACAACCGGCTCACCTTAGAGGGTTTGGTATACAAAGAATGATGAATGGGAACAATCAGAAGTGCTATAAGACTGTTAAGTGGATAGATACAGTGGTGCCTCGCAAGACGAAATTAATTCGTTCCGCAAGTCTCTTCGTCTTGCGAGTTTTTCGTCTTGCGATGCACGGTTTCCCATAGGAATGCATTGAAAATCAATTAATGCGTTCCTAGGGAAACCGCCTTCAGACCAGGTCCGGGGACAGTCTGTCCCCGGACCTCTTCTGAAGGCTGGGGGGCAAGGGCTTTTCTTCCCACCCCCAGCATTTTAAAACCCCGGGACAGCGGAGGACTTCTCCGCTGTCCGGGCGATCTTAAAATGCTGGCGGGCGGCATTTAAAATCACCCGGGACAGCGGAGGACTTCTCCGCTGTCCGGGGCAATTTAAAGCCCCTGGGAAGGCAGGCAGGGGGACAAAGACTTTGCCCCCGCCAGCCTTCAGAAGAGGTCCTGGACCTCTTCTGAAGGCGGGCGGGGGCGAAGTCTTTGCTCCCCCGCCTTCAAAAGCCCTCCGGGACAGGCAGGCAGGGGGAGCAAAGACTTCGCCCCCGCCCGCCTTCAGAAGGTCTTCCCTCCCCCGCCCGGCTCGGAGCACCGTTCCGGGCCGGGCGGCGGCGGAGGTCTTCCTCCCCCGCCCGGCCCGGAGCACCGCCCGGCCGGGCGGCGGCGGGAGGTCTTCCTCCCCCCGCCCGGCCCGGAGCACCGTTCCGAAGCCGGGCGGCGGCGGCAGGTGTTCCCTCCCCCGCCCGGCTCGGAGCACCGTTCCGAAGCCGGGCGGCGGGGAGGTCTTCCCTCCCCACCGCCCGGCCCGGAGCACCGTTCCGAGCCGGGCAGAGGCGGGAGGTCTTCCTCCCCCCGCCCGGCTCGGAGCACCGTTCCGAAGCCGGGCGGCGGCGGCAGGTGTTCCCGCCCCCCGCCCGGCTCGGAGCACCGTCCCGGGCCGGGCGGCGGCGGCAGGTGTTCCCTCCCCCCGCCCGGCTCGGAGGAGCCTTCCGAGCCCGGCGGCGGCGGGAGGAGGTGTCCCCGCCCCGCCGCCAGGCTTCGGAGGAGGTCCGAGGACAGAGGGGAAGACGCGCTGCGCTTCCCCGCTGTCCCTGAGATTTCCTATGGGCTGTCGTCTTGCGAAGCAAGCCCATAGGGAAATTCGTTTTGCGAAGCGCCTCCAAAACGGAAAACCCTTTCGTCTAGCGGGTTTTCCGTCTTGCGAGGCGTTCGTCTTGCGGGGTACCACTGTAGATAGATAGATAGATAGATAGACAGACAGATAAGATGAGAGAGAAAATTGATTGGATGAAGAAAAAAGAAGAGTAAAAGAAAAAAATGCTGCAAAATTTACCTGTCATGTGTCCTCATGAAATCCCATTTCTTTGAAATGCCATTCTGCAAAACAAAAAAGCGATCCCTAACAATTAGTACAGTATGATGGTCTTCAATCAATCAATCAATTGTTCCATACATGTGTATGGTTTAAATGCTATTGTAGCTTATGTTGGAAACGGTTTGTATTTGGCACAGAGGTGGCACAGAACTAGTGTTACAATAAATACATTTGATCAGTTTAGAATATTTTGCCTACCAACTATGGTGGTAAAGGGAAAGCAATGCTGGGGCTGGGGGGTGAGGGTGGGGAACTGGTGCCACCGGGGGAGAGATACTGGACTTCATGGGGTCTAGAACCACCATCCTAGCTTCTGTTGACCTACTTGGTCTCTTTTAAAAATTCCCAGCTGGATGACCAATGGCAAGAGAGGGCAAGGTTCTTGCACCTTATCATGGTTGCACATAAAACACACCATGCACCTACTCTAGGCTTCATTTCTCACCATCTAGTCCTTGTGAGAATGAAGGAAATAAGTCACATGTTACCCCTGTATTTTCTGGAATTACGCTACAACCTATTTTCAGCCTTTGAGTTTTTATTCATTTATTTGCCATTTCACACCAAGGAGTATTCCAAAGCAATTTACAACATAAAGCTTAAAAAACCCATATAAAGCACAACAGCTAAGCATGCTCATCCAAGATTAATTATAAAAGGGCAAATCCTTTTAAGAAAATGAGCACCGAAACAGGCCGAAACCCGCTCACTCACCGCCCTTCAGATTAATGATCAAAGGCCTGAATGTACAGCAATATTTTAGCATTTAACACCAGGCTTGCCTTCCAGGAGAGAGCATTGTACAAGTGGGGAGCCACCACCGAAAAGGCCTATTCTTGCATTGCCACCATGCTCAACTCCCTCAAAGGAAGCAGGGGGAGAAGGGCCTCGGGTGGCAAAAGGCTCCTTGTTTCATTGTATTATGTTTATTTGTTGGTTTAAAATCGTATCTGTACATAGGCAGAATTTCATTCACACTTTTGCACAACACCCTGGTTCATCTTTTGATGAACAGCAGCTAAGAAATACTTCACATAAATAAATTGTCGCAATGTGTGAACAAGGCTCATTTGGCAGCATGTTGAAAACCTTAAGCCAGGTGAGAGAAAAAGAAAAAGGATGAAACTGAGTCGCTGGGTGGGTGAAGATGCAACACAACAAAGGCAGGCCTGAAGGCTTATATACGGAATTTGTCAGGGCAACTGAACACAGAACAGTTGGTGGGGATTAGGCGACTGCAACATTGCCTTGGATAATAAGCTTCTGAACTTCTAGAAGTTTAACTAGGCTTTTTGCTGCTGTTGACACTGACTGTTTGTCCAATGGCTGGTTTATATGACATTTCCACAGGGCTAATTAAAAAGTGGTTGCTCATCCTAGGAGAAACTCTCCTCAAACGTAAGCAGCTCTAAAAGCAGTTAAAATTGACCAAATCTATAAGGAGATATCATGGGGGGGGGGATGCAATGTGGGGTTCAAGCCTGATCACTCCCTGCACAGATTCACCCCATCCCACGTAGTTCACAAAAGCCCCACAACCTTCCAAATAGGTTTCAGGTAATTTCAGGCAGGGGGATGTATTTTCTTTCAAAATGTGGGGATTTGCATTCTCCAGCGGGAGAGAGCACCCACCAGGGTTAAAAACACTCTCAGAATTAAGCAACAGTATAACATGGAATATAAATTGTTAAATTCTTTTGCAAATCCTGTTTAGTCTGCTTTAAAGCTCTTGCCCCCACCTCTCTCTATCTCTCTGCCAATGAACAGACCACACACTCGTAAGTAAGTTAAAAATGCTTTACTTACTAAAGCCAAAGGTCTGGTTCATGCATTATTCCATGCAGCAGCAAAAAGAACACAAGTATATTACTTTTGGGTGCAAATACAGACTTTGGCAATCCCACCTGCCATTAAACCCAATGTGTTTTCCCTATATGCGATTTTGGCTTTAGGTGCGATCCCTGGAACATAATCCCTGTGTTAAATTGCAGGCTTGCTGTGTTACATAAGCCTGGCACAATTTCAAAGTGCTTATCTTTCTTTACCAAATTCAAGAAAAATATACGTGCTAGATTAGATCACTAAGCTAGGCCTTCAGAATATTTTCCGAAGAAAGCTGGAAGCTTTCCAATGTAAATTATCCTATTCAAATTTGCATAAGGTAATGTAAAAATTTGCAGAAAATTTCCCAATTCTAAAGTTTTCCAGAAAATTCATAACTGTACCTGGCCCAAACAGTTTCATTTAGTAGCACACTACAGAGACAGAGCTTTCCACTTTTGTGGACTGTTTAATCTACAATAATGAAGACATAAATAGATTTAGAGTCTGCTAGGATATGCATGTTTTCGCTTATCCCTATGCACTGGTCCAACAAAGCTTTGCAAAGGAATATCTAGGAGCAAGATTCAATTTTGCATGGCCAGCTTGCACCTGTCCAAATAAATAATGCAATAAACAAATGAAAGTGTCCAGCATCCCATTGTTTGCTGTGGCAGAAACTCAAATGACTGCCATTTGCTGCCATTGTCCTTGTGTAATGCAATTTGAACTCGGCTCTATGCAGCCGAGTTTCTATTGTGCCAAATGCCTGGCTCTTTGCTAAGAGTCCGCTATGAAGGCAGCTAATTATTAATTCCAGGTAAACAGTTGCCAATGGTTATATGACTCTGTGTACTTTGCAGAACAATAAATCCAACTGTGCTTATAGTGATTTTTATCAAGAAATGGGCAAGTTCGTGGCACTGATTTATCTTTCTCCTTTTCAACAAACCTGCATATTCATAGTATGATGAAGAGATGGACAAATGGGAATCCACTGGTTTGTGTGTGTGGGGGGGTCTTGTAGGGCCCCTAACATAGCCCTACAACTGCAACTACTGCAACCATTATTATGCATCCCAACCTCTGCCTGTTACTTGGGAGAAACAACTGAGAAATGTTAGCGAGAGTATTAAGATCTCTTTGCTTGTGTCTCAACTTATGGGGGAGCAAGTCAGTAGTTGTCATGGACTGGCGGGGCACACAGGAATGGTGGGAGGCACCAGCTGGGGAACCATCAAGGGACGAAGGCTCAGAGGCCGGAGAGTGGTGGTGGGATGACGATGAGTGGTCAGAAGGAGAAGAGGGAGCAGACTGGGAGGAGGAAATGTTGGAAGCTGAAGAGGTAACAGGGCTTAGTGAGCTGGGAGAGTCTGTGGCAGAGAGAAGTCTAGAATCAGAATCAGAAACTGAAGCAAGCAAGTGGGAAGAGGGAGGTCAAGAGGCAGAGATGAATCAGGCTGGGTAAGAGTCACAGGGGTCTCCCCCTCCTGCTGAGACAAGCTCCCCTCCCCCATGTCTCCCAGAATCAGAAGAGGGCTGAAATGGGCGTAGCAGTGGCAGGCTGCATGCAGGTGCAGTCTCTGATTACCTGAAAAAAGCCCTGAAGAGGAGGGGCCTTAGATGGCTGTGGGGAGTTGGGGACTTTCAATCTCAGCAACTGATTCAGGGAGTAAGACCTGCCGGGGATGGGCAGCTGTGCTCATTAGGCCTGAAACTCAGCCAAGTCTGGGAAGATCATGTTTTTGCTAATGAAGAGTTAGCGCCAACTTTGAGCAGTGTGTGATTTACTGCTGGCTTGCTCTGTGACAGTAGCCTCCACCGATGCAAAACGTAGCCCCTCATTAGGAAGTGCTTGACTTTTCAGGGTTTGCAAAGTAAACAACAGGCTTGTTTATTTCTCTTACTGCAACCAGTTTGTGCATTTGAACATTTAAATGTGATGTAATCAAGTGGATCCATGTTTTGCATGCACGTTCTCTCCCCGCCCCCCCGGCGCGCAAATAGCTAAAACAACGGAAAGCCTCCGGCAGCATCTCTTTCGTAGTAACCCATCTCCAAAGGCCTGTTTAAATAAACATGTTTCCACCTCTCTGTTACCCCCAAGCAATCCTGAACTGGTTGGCCTACTTAGGGAGAGGGTGCCATGACATGGATGCCACAACTGAGAAGGCCCTGCTCCAAAAGACTGCAAATTACTACGCCCCACTACTACTGACCGGCATAAACTCAGAAAAAGATCTTGCCATTAGATCTTTAAAGGAAAGGGACGTGGGTGGCGCTGTGGGTTAAACCACAGAGCCTAGGAGTTGCCGATCAGAAGGTCGGCAGTTTGAATCCCCATGATGGGGTGAGCTCCCTTGGCTGGGTCCCTGCTCCTGCCAACCTAGCAGTTCGAAAGCATGGAAAATTGCAAGTAGATAAATAGGTACCGCTCCAGCGGGAAGGTAAACGGCGTTTCTGTGCGCTGCTCTGGTTCACCAGAAGCGGCTTAGTCATGCTGGCCACATGACCCGGAAGTTGTATGCTGGCTCCCTCGGCCAATAAAGCAAGATGAGTGCCGCAACCCCAGAGTCGGTCACGACCGGACCTAATGGTCAGGGGTCCCTTTACCTTTATGAAGGTGCGCCCTCTATGGCTATCAGGTTTTTAGTTAAAGGAATCAGAGTTGGAAGGGACCCTGAGGATCATCTAACCTAACCCCTTGCAATGCAGCAATATGGAGCTGTTCCATATGGGGAATCAAACCTGCAACCTTGGTGTTATGAGACCAGGCAGTAACAAACTGAGCTATCTACATTTGAAAATGATCTGCAACACATACTGTCTCCAAGCTCAGTAGCAAAACACTTGCTTTTCATTCAGGTGGGCCCAGATTCAACCCCTGGCATTTCCAGTTAAAAACCTCTCCGGTAGGGAGGCTGGGAAAGCTTTGACTACTATCAGTGCAAACAGGGTCCCCATTCTGGACTGGATGAACCAATGGGTCTGACTCAGTATAAGGCAGAGATCCTTTCTCCCTAAGCCAAGCTGTGCTAGCCGCACAAAAACAAGAGGAAGATGCTTAACCATCATTCTCGACATGAACCATCTCCTTGTCTGCTGCACTTTTCGCTCCCACTTTGTTTATCCATTTTCCATTTTAGCTTAATGGAAATTGATTTCACATCCATGTGGTTTGCAAGAAAAGATGACGGGAGATTTCATAATTTGGGGTTGTTGGATTGGGGGTTTTTTTTTTTTTTTGCCAGCTGCATTATTAATGCCAGCTACTGTCATGTGAAGTCAATAGCTAACATCTCCAGTGACTATGGCAATGCCCTGGCACGCTCTTTACCTCTAGGTCAATCTGAACTTGGCGCGATTCGTTCGTGTGCATTTCCATTTGCATGCCTCCACCCCTGCATTGTTTCAATTAGCCCTGTTTTAGGGCATCACTTTGAGCATGGCCTTCGTGTAAACAGAATTAACGAGGAAGAGAAAACAAGGCTTCGCCTTCCGTGCCAATTGCCGCTTAAAACCAGGAGGGGATTTTGAAAGGAAGCACACAAGTCTATTCTCCATGCGATATTGTGAAATCGGAATTATCAACATAAATTGTACATCGCAAAACAGAGGCAGCACGTTTGGGCTTGCACAGATTTCTACGGAACAAACTGAACTGAGCTCCTTTCTACGCCCCGTTGCAAGAAGAATGGCATTCCAACACCCCCTGAAGCGGGCGAAAAATATGGCTCCCCTTTCAAAAGACGTTTCCCAAATCTATGGAGAGGAAGTCTGGTGTGGCAGACACAGCACTAGACTTGGCCCTGAGCTCAAACATCTGCCTACCTCTCTTGATAACCTTGCCTGTCCACCTAATCTAAACTTCTTGGGGTTTCTATGAGGGCAATATGGGATAATCCCCATATAATACCACCCTGAGCTCCTTGGAGAAAGAGTGGGATGCGAATGTGATCAGTAAACAGATGACTGTTGGTACTGAATAATTGGATGAGACTGTTATCTTCAGCTGTGATACTGCGCTTCCCAGTGTCCATTGGGAGCTCTGAGGTGTTTGAGGACAACCCCAAACTTCAGGGGGGATGGATGAAATCAGGCTGCTATAAGAAAAACCCCACTCACCTCTGCATCTAGCTCTCTCCTCCACGGAGTTGGTAAGCATCATGGCCGGCTCTACCATTGGGCAAGGTGAGGCAGCCAGCCTCAGTAAACAGATTTCAGGCTGCCGTTATTATTTTCACTTGCTGTTGTATTAATGTTATACCACCAAAGAGGGTTTAATTGGTATTTTCTGCTTCAGGCACCAAGAACGAATCCTGTTTGTATCTCAGCTGTAAGTTGGCTACCTTGAACTAAAGACATTTAAATCAACCAGTCCAGGGACGAGTAGAAACTATCTCCCCCCGCCCTCCCAAGAATGGTACACAATCCAAAAGTCGCACTGTAATTTTTACAAACCGTATCCATTTTAGTCTTCAAAGCGAGGGTTATATTTTGGCAGGAGACTGTAATGAAACTGCATCCAGATGGTGATGGCAGTATAGTTTTACTGTTCAAAAGGTGTCCTTTTTACCCATTAGGAGGCAAAACAAACATTTGAGAAGTGCATTCACTTCTTCAGCTGTTCATGTGATACAGGGGGCCAGGCCACTATGTTTATTTCAAACCCATCAGCTCCGAGGACAGGTAAACTAAAATCTGCAAAATTTCCCTTTATTTTTAAGACAGCATCGCGAGGTGGATTTGTAGGCACAAACTGACACAGCTTTTACTCCTAGGATTTATAAACCCTTGATTTACTTTGTGATGAGGCAACCAATGCCGCCAAATTTTAAATAGATGAGTTATTTCTGCCAGCATGTGGAAATGGAGAGAAAGTTTCAGGCTTGGGCCAGGGAGACCTGGGTTCAAATCCCCGACCCAGCCACAAAGCTAAACGAGTGGCCTTTGAGCCAGTCACGATTTCTGAGTTAACCTTCCTTATGGGATTGCTGTGAAGATAAAACAGAAAGGAAGGAAACCAAGTATACCATCTTAAGCGCCTTAGAAGAAAGCCACAGAATGCCTCTATACAGTGGTACCTCGGGTTGCATACGTTTCAGGTTACATACGCTTCAGGTTACAGACTCCGCTAACCCAGAAATAGTACCTCGGGTTAAGAACTTTGCTTCAGGATGAGAACAGAAATCGTGCTCCGGCGGTATGGCGGGAGCAGGAAGCCCCATTAGCTAAAGTGGTGCTTCAGGTTAAGAACAGTTTCAGGTTAAGAACGGACCTCCGGAACGAATTAAGTACTTAACCCCAGGTACCACTGTATATTGCTTTGTCATCCAAAGCAATCACATTCTGCCTATAAAGCCCACTCTTTTCCTCAAGCAAGCAGACAGTAGTATGCTGAACTTGATACCTGAAAGGGGGGAGGATATGTCGCCGGCACTAGGAAAGCTGATAGGTTCAGGGGTCAAAGCTACGGCTTTTCCTGCTACCTTCAGTTTACTGCTAGGTCAGCAACTGCATTTAAGGTTATAACCTGGGATGCAGATGTGAGGCAACTGGAACTGGCACAAATTGATTCCGGGCGGGGGGGGGGGGGGGAGCAACTTGGCGCTTCAGTAAAAGAAAGAGCTGAAAGGTGGACGTTATACCACTTAGTGTTATATGGCTCATTTTTAAATAAGGGATGATAAAAATAAAAATAAAAAATATTATTTATACCCCGCCCATCTGGCTGGGTTTCCCCAGCCACTTTGTGCGGCTCTCAAGAGAATATTAAAAACACGATAAAACATCAAACGTTAGAAACTTCCCTAAACAGGGCTGCCTTCAGCTGTCTTCTAAAAGTCAGATAGTTGTTTACTTCCTTGAAATCAGATGGGAGGGCTTTCCACAGGGCGGGCGCCACTACCGAGAAGGCCCTCTGCCTGTTTCCCTGTAACTTTGCTTCTCGCAGTGAGGGAACCAGCAGAAGACTCTCGGAGGAGGACCTCAGTGTCTGGGCTGAACGATGGGGGTGGAGACGCTCCTTCAGGTATACAGGACCGAGGCCATTTAGGGCTTTAAAGGTCAACACCAACACTTTGAAATGTGCTTGGAAACATCCTGGGAGCCAATGTAGGTCTTTCAGGACCAGTGTTATATGGTCTCGGCGGCCACTCCCAGTCACCAGTCTTGCCGTTGCATTCTGGATTAGTTGTAGTTTCTGGGCCACCTTCAAAGGTAGCCCCACGTAGAGCGCATTGCAGATAGGGAGCTGCCTTACACAGAGTGAGAATACTAGGTCCACCTAGCTGAGTGCCGTTTACACTGGCTGGTAGCGGCTCTCTGAGGTTTCTGAAGGGGAATTCAGCCACGGCTCTTCCGCAGATTGAGCTACCATTGAGCTACGGCCCTTTCCCCAATAATTAATTTGCTTAAAAAATAATAAAAAAGACAGGCCCCAGCTATGCATTCTGGGAACAGTCCAACACTTCCTACATGCCGCACAATGAAGATTGAATGATGCTCATAAAATAATTGTGTGAGGTTGCAGGTAAACTAGGGTGCACTGAGTTGGGTCCCCTACTTCTATTTCCCAAGGGAAAATCTTCCAGCAATAGCCAGCTTTCTACCAAAACATCCACAGTCAATCCTGACCCAACCCTTCCCTCTATGAAAAGGGGAAAGCAAGCAGTGATGTGACCGTAGTGCGGAGAAAGAGACCTTAAAATAAACACCATTTAGCCATGTTTACTACACTGGTGCGTCAAAGCACTCTGTGCAATTCACAACTCAAAATAATGGCTAAGAGAGATGATATTTTATAGGGAAGGCAGAGGAAAATGAGCAAGTAGAAGTTCTATACTAACTGCCCCAGTGGAACCTGGGGGAATTGAAGAATATGCAACCAACCTCTCCACTAAAACCTGAAGACAGAAACTGCCAGGGTCAGATCATTATTCCTCTGTAGCAACCTCCCAAGCCTTCTTGCTTTTTTAAAAAGAGAAAAAGGAACCACCAGAATGAGAAGCACTAATATAGAGCATTTAGCAGGTGATGATTTTCACTTTTATGGGAGTTGTAACTATAATGCCTTATTTAAAATATTTCCGTATTTTAAAACAGAATCACAAAAGTTTTTTTAACAAGCTATCCTCCCATTGGTATGTTTCACTTTGAAAGCAACAACCGTTTTAGTAGCTCAGCCTCCTCAAAGTTCCAGAGAAGCCATTTTCCGCTCACTTGCTTTGAAAGTCATTAAAATAACTTGATGAAGAGCAACAGCGGGGGGTTAATGGAAGGCAAGGCTTACACACAATCTTTAGATTTCCCCCGAAGACTTTCTCACAGGACCTTCTTACAAAAATCACAAGGACCTTTCACCTCCCTCCAGTCCCCTGCAAAAATCAATACAAAATGGACAGATGCTACCAAGCCCCAGATTTTAAATTATGTCTTACATAACATAGCGAGCGGCCCTCTCCCTCTCCCCAATGGTGAACCTGCAAAACATATGCTTAAAAGGATGGAGAGTTTCGGTGTTTCCGTGTGCATGTGTTAAATTTGGAGTAGACAGGATGCTATGAAAGAGGACAACAATAGTTCACGGGTAAACTTTCATTACCTATTGGTGATAAATAGAGTGGCTGGGCGAAGGACAAGACTACTTCTGCACTGAGAGCCAGTTCACACATGCCCATCACTTAAGGGCCAGGTAAGAATTTAAGAGCAACACTGTTAGATCACTCTAAAATGGTCCATTTAGTGCAGCATCCTGTTTCGCCGCAGCAGCTAACTAGATATGGCTGGAATTGGGATGGCAGATTTCCCCAGGCCACACACCCCTGCCAGTCAGTTGATATCACTGGGTGACATCACCTGATGCGTAGGGTTGAATCCTGCTGGGTGCAGCTTCACCAGGGTGCTGCCTGCAGGCAGGGGTAGGCAACTTAAGGCCCGTGGGCCGGATGCGGCCCAATCGTCTTCTCAATCCGGCCCACGGATGGTCTGGTAATCAGCGTGTTTTTACATGAGAAGAATGTGTCCTTTTATTTAAAATGCATCTCTGGGTTTTTTGTTGGGCATAGGAATTCGTTCATATTTTTCTTTCCAAAATATAGTCCGGACCACCACATGGTCTGAGGGACGGTGGACCAGCCCACGGCTGAAAAAGTTTGCTGACCCCTGCCTGCAGGGGACGCACTGCTGAAGCTGACCCCAACCTGCAGATGAACTTTGACAGATGGGCAGGACTTCCCACCTATCAGTTGCCTGACACCAGGTGACTGACAGGGGTATAGCCCCACCCACCAGTCAAAGCTGGCCTGACGGGTGAGGTGGAGATAAATATCCGAAACAAAAAAGATCCTAACCCTGAGATATGAGAAGTTCACAAGCAGAGTGCGAAGGTGCTGATAACACCAATATGCAGCTGCATTGCAAGGGTTGGACTAGATGATCCTCAGGGTCCCTTCCAACTCTGCACTTCTATGATTATATGATCCCTACCCCCAGCAACTTGTATTTAGAAGGACAACATTTCTTCTGATTAATTTTATCATGGCTAACAGCTGTTAAGAAGACCTGTCATCCGTGATTTGCAGGGAAGAACGAATGTTCCATCACATATTAAATGTCATGTGAGTTCAGTCTCAAACACCATCATTTTTCAGACCTAGATCTCGAAACCTGAGGAAGAACGGGGTGGTAGAGTGCTGGGGTGGTAGAATGACCCGTATCACTTTAGAATGTAAGGAGTTTTGCATGTGCCTCACAGTTTTGAATGCTTCCTGATGTTAGGAGATCCCTGCCAATAAAACACCAGCACAGCAGATCTCCAGGGCTTGATGAGCTGCATCCAAGTGTACCAAAGGAGCTTGCGGATGTAATTTCAGAGCCTTTGTCTATTATCTTTGAGAATTCTTGGAGAACAGGTGATGTCTCTACATTTAGCTGTTGAGGAGCCGTGCAGTGTGCATGCCAGTCTGAACCACCCCAAAGAGCAACATGGAAGGAGGAACTATCCTTGGTGGTTCCTCTCATCACTTCAGTGACGTGCAAGAAAAAGCCCCATTTGAGATGGCAACTCCGCTTTCAATTCTTAAAAGGAACAGAATTGCTAGATCTAGCCAGTCCATTGGTAAAGCATCTGTATTGATACAGTCATACCTCGGGTTAAAAACGCTTCGGGTTAAATCTTTTCAGGTTGCGTCCCGGAGCGACCCGGAAGTACCGGAAAGGGTTACTTCCGGGTTTCGCCGCTTGCGCATGCGCAGACGCTCAAAATGATGTCACACGCATGCTCAGAAGCGGTGAATCGCGACCCGCGCACACACGGGTTGCGTTCTGCTCAGGTTGCGAACGGGGCTCTGGAACGGATCCCGTTCACAACCAGAGGTACCACTGTATTTGCATTTTCCAGCATTGCTTAAATGAGGTATAGGTTTCTTTCCAGTCACCTGTACGCTTAAGGGTACCAGGTGGTCAACAGGCCAGGGCTGCTGCACCTTTAACAGTTGTGCAGAAGATAGAATTTCAGTAGGTGCACTGCAAACTACACCTCCTGAAATTCCCTCTTCTACGCTTTTATTAAAGATACAGGAGCCCTGCTCTTTCTCTCTCATGCATCTGGTCTAAGGTTCTCAGACATCCCCGTTTCCCAGGGACAATCCCCGGATTTACAAATCAGTCCCCATACAAAATCCATTGAAGTTGAAAAGTGTCCCCGGATTCATTGGGGGGGAAATCTTTTAACCTTAATCTGGTCACCCAATGTAGATTCCGTTTATGCTGTGCTTCTGTCACATCACCGCTCCAAAAACTCTCTTCTCCAAACTCTGGCTTTACCTGTTGAGGGACAGGGCGCCACCCATTGGCCATCTTGCACTGAGCCTATCATCATCATCATCATCATCATCATCATCTCCATCTCTACACTGCCCTTCATTTGAGCATCACAGGGCAGCTTACAATATAAAAACACAAAAATGCATGACACAATAACAAACAAGAACACCACATCCCAGGCCATGGATTGTTTAATCAATCGTCCAGGGTTGTCCCACACAATGGGGCATCAGAGTGACCACTCTCAGCCCTGCCTTTTGGGGGGCTCCACACCCTAACGTGGAGGCAGCCGCAGTTGGGAAAGGCAGCCATGGGAGGAGGGGTGTGCCTGAATTCAGGCGGCAGCTGGTTACATAGGAGGGAAAGCAATGATTCTTCAACATCAACTTCGTTGGACTGGTCATGTTGTTCGGATACCTGATTATTGTATTCCAAAGCAACTACTCTACTCCAAACTCAAGAATGGAAAGCAAAATACTGGTAGACAACAAAAGAGGTTTAAAGATGTTCTCAAAGCAAATCTAAAAAAATGTAGTATAAACACTGACAACTGGGAAACAATGGCCTGAGAGCGCTCCAATTGGAGAACAGCCTTAACCAAAGGTGTCATGGACTTTGAAGAAGGAAAAACTCAGGGTGAAAAGAAAAGAAGAAAGAAGAAGAAGGCGGCAGCTGGTGACATAGGGGAGAAAAATAAGCTTTTTCAAAAAGCAAAGTCTCCCCCAGTCTTAACTGGAATGAGTTTCAGTTTGTTGGCTTCAAGTTACAAGAAAGATATTCTGACTAAACATCAGGAAGAACTTTCTGACGGAAAGAGCTGTTCAACAGTGAAACCCTTAGGAGGTTGTAGAGCAGGTTTCCTCAAACTCGGCCCTCCAGATGTTTTGAGACTACAATTCCCATCATCCTTTGACCACTGGTCCTACTAGCTAGGGATCATGGGAGTTGTAGGCCAAAAACATATGGAGGGCCAAGTTTGAGGAAGTCTGTTGTAGAGTCTTCTTCCTTAGAGGTTTTAAAGCAGAGGTTGGATGGCCATGTATGCTTTAGCTGAGATTCCTGAATTGCAGGGGGTTGGATTAGAAAACCCTTTGGGTCCCTGCCAACTCTACAATTATGTAATTCTAATCTCCCTTAATGGCTCACCATGGGAAGATAGCTTGGCTTGATTAAATTCCAACACTTGCCTGATCCAGAGACGAGAGGGGTCTGGTACCCACAAACTCACAGCAATATTTTCCCTATGCTAATTGCGACGGATAGCCCAGCTCATTGGAAGGCAAGTATGCACCTGAATCAGACAGACTCACTTTGCAACAGAGGTAAAGGGGCTTGTCTTCCACCTGGAGTTGGTAAGCGCATTCAGACTTGGGGGTTTTCCACCCAGCCCCACCTAGGCTCGAAGCTGCTCACGACAAATAAACAAAGTCCACAAAACAGGGCAAGACACCAGGCAGATTAGAAGCCATCAATAGAAACATTATTCAACAACTGCATCTGAAAGCCTTCCTTGAAAGCTGGGTTTTGCAGCCCCTCCTGAAGGCTAGCAAGAGCATGCTCCAGCAGACATCTTCTGGCAGACTATCCCACAACCCTGGGGCAGTGACTGAGAATGCCTTGCTTCTTGCGCTGCTTGTCTCTACCTCCCGCAATGATGGCAAACAAAGCAGAAAACTTGAGGGCATTCTCGATTTGAGGGGAGGGGCCATATGGGAAGAGGAAGCCTCAAAGATGCGGCGGTCCCAGACACTAAAAGGTTGAAAGCAGTAGCTGGGCCAGAAGCTATTTGTGATGTGTGCTTGTTTATTTTTTTTAAAATATATTAATGGTATAACCAACAGGACAGAGTAGTCCAGAAATTCAAGAAAAGAAAAAACACACCAACAATCGAGTATGGACAGGTATAAATTGAGGAGACAAAAGGGATAAAAATATTGAAAGAAACTTGTACAAAAGAGACAATGCTGCAGTGTTCTAAGATAAGACATAAACAATGGGTCAAAAACTTGTATAATCAAAAGCAGCACCAGATGCTATCATATTTGGACGGTGTTCATCATCTGTGTGACTACGTCGCTAAATAAGCTTTAAAAAAAACACCAGATAGCCGCAAAGTCCCATCTGAGAACCCAGGCTTGGTGGGCTAGTTTCTCTCATGTCACTATAAATAAGACTTTTAGAAACCAATTCATAATAGAGAGAGCATAGAAGCACCCTTCCAGCGCTTGTTTATTTTTGGTGTTGCTTGGAAGCCATTTTAAGGTAAGTTTAACAAATACAGTGGTACCTCGGGTTACAGATGCTTCAGGTTACAGACTCCGCTAACCCAGAAATAGTACCTCGGGTTAAGAACTTTGCTTCAGGAAGAGAACAGAAATCGTGCAGCAGTGGTGCGACGGCGGCAGGAGGCCCCATTAGCTAAAGTGGTGCTTCAGGTTAAGAACAGTTTCAGGTTAAGAATGGACCTCCAGAACAAATTAAGTTCTTAACACAAGGTAAGATAAAGGTAAAGGGACCCCTGACCATTAGGTCCAGTTGTGGCCGTCACTGGGGTTGCGGCGCTCACCTCTCTTTATTGGCTGAGGGAGCCAGCGTACAGCTTCCGGGTCATGTGGCCAGCACGACTAAGCCGCTTCTGGCGAACCAGAGCCGCGCACAGAAATGCCGTTTACCTTCCCGCCAGAGTGGTACCTATTTATCTACTTACAGTTTGACTTGCTTTCAAACTGCTAGGTTGGCAGGAGCTGGGACCGAACAACGGGAGCTCACCCCGTCACGGGAATTTGAACCGCCGACCTTCTGATCGGCAAGTCCTGGGCTCTGTGGTTTAACCCACAGCGCCACCCGCGTTACTTTAACCCGAGGTACCACTGTAATAAAATAGTAACAATATTCCAAGAGAGTGGTTTCACCTTATCTTTGTTAGCACGCAAAGGGCACTGTGCCATAGAGTCTAAAGAAGGGTGCAAGCAAGCAGACTTGACTTTTGTTTTCATAAGACAACCATTCCCAGTTCCGCAGAATCCTGGAACAGCTCTGGGGGAAGAGAGTTCCCAAGCATTAAGTTTATTGTGCCTCTGGCAGTTGTTGGCAGTCAAGGGTGTTGCACTCACATCCAGTGTTTGAAATTCCCCAGGCGCCAAGTGCATTTTGCTACTGGCACACGGCCAATGGCACCCATGTGGAGATTCCTGGGCTCCAGGCTGGCAACCACGGTTTAAAAGCCTCTGCCTTAGTCCATTTCTGTTTCCACTGTTTGGGTTTCCCCTTCTTGCGTACTGGGACAAGTGAATGGTTTCTAAGAGCAAGCTACAGTCAAACAATATAGTTGAGATCAGAGTCGTAGAATCAGTCTAACCCACTGGCAAATAGACATTCCATTGTGGTGACCGTAACCTAGGTTTAAGCTTATATATCAGAGTTTCTCACACCGCTCATGTCCGGCTTGCAGGCTTCTCACAGACATCTCATCTTGCGCTGTAATGGACTACATAGACCACTATTCTGATTCAGCAGGCTCTTCTGGTGTTGGTTTGGTTTTTAATTCATTTACACTCCTCCTTTCTGTCATGGAACTCAAGGCAGAACACATACTGTCTCCAGCCTGCCAGCCATGCACTAACCAGACCTAAAATTCATTTCACAAAGCTGATGCATCAAGACCTGGGATATGGGCTGAGGATCTAGCCCACTCTGATATCTTGGAAGATAAGGCATTTATATATCTCTGCCTCTCCATCCACACACCCCATAGTGTATAATGTTCTTGTTAAGTACTTTAGACATGTGTAAGAAACTGAAAGAAAAGCTATAAACCATGAATAGGCAAACTTGGCCCTCCAGATGTTTTCGGACTACAACTTCCATCTTCCCTAGCTAACAGGACCAGTGGTCAGGGATGATGGGGGTTGTGGTCTCAAGACATCTGGAGGGCCAAGTTTTCCTATGCCTGCTATAAACTAATGAGCAGAAAACTCTTTTGTGTTGTTTTTTCAAATCAAGATGAATCAGAAGCAGCAGATGAATATCACACCACTGTGTTATGTTTATTTGAGCATGCACAGAAGCCACTATAAGGTCCGCAGCCCTCCAAGAGGGTTTTCATGCCTTTAAGCATTGCTTAGAAGGGAACATACACTAAATGAAACTGCTCCTTTGGCAACAACACCATGATAGCAAAGAGAAAAGGAAAAATCTGCCTCCTGGGCATCACTTAAACCAGGAGGTGGAAATCTCAAATAGATTAATTGAGCAAGTTTTAAGCTGTTTTAAGATGTTATCTGCTGTTTTCTTGTTTTGTGTTATTTTAGACTGTACACTGCTGTTGTTTCAGTATAATGCGTAAACCTGCAAACAAGCACAGCCTACAACTGATGAAAACCCACCAATCTTCCCTACCCATCTTTGGTTATTGCTTCCTGATAAAAACACTCTTAGCTGTATAAGGATTTCACTGATAATAATGCAATTAAACAAGCAAGCATTGGTGTCATTTATTTCCGTGCAGCAGTGTGCATCACAAATGCTACCCATAATTATACCGAGCAGATTCAAGGAAAGGACATCACTCACCTTGCGGAGTTTGGTCCTTCTTTTGCCTGTAATGTATTCATCACCACTCATCACATCTGTCCCTGCAAATCCTATTTCCTGTTCTATTCATGAGGTGCAGCAACCTGGAGCTTTAGAGATTGCCGCCACACTTTTCCCATGGCCTTCTCACCTCTCCTCTCCCTGAGCAAGTACCCCATTCCCATTGTTTATCATCTGTTCTCCCCTGCTGGAAACTGCTGTCAGATGTTCACTTATCCCTAATCTCGGTTGCTGCCTTTGATATTCTTTCTAATCCAACAACCTGTCAACTGGGGCATCGGCCCATGTCCAGGCCAGCTGCTCTGTCCCAGGCTCCAAGATTCTCTCCCAGACTCCATCTGAAATGGTTTTAGGGGATTCTGACCCAGCAAGGAAAACGTGAGGCAAATAATTAATGTCATCTCTATCTGCGCTCATGACTTTGGTGTGCCATTAAGCGCCCCGCCAATGAAGGAAAGTAACTTTTTAAAAGTTGCTTTAAACTCGGGCGTTAATGTATTAATGAAACCCTGGTCAATGTTTAAGGTACATGATTGAGGACAAGCAAGGTCTTGAGGAAGGCAGTGAGAAGATGCTTTTTAATTGAAAAGCAAATCTGCATATAAGCCTCCCAATTTGGACAGAACTTTCTTGCACACCTGCAGCTTTAAGGCAGAACTATAGAGCAATTGTTCAGCAGCGAACTTTCCTCATGCTGAGTGTAAAATATGAACATTAAACATGAGCAGGTGGTTAAGATGCATTGCTAGAGCACTGCAAAAACTCAGTGTCCCCCCGCTTGTCAGGCAAGGTTGTTGATTCCCAACCCCCTCTTTACAGACCTTTTTTCCAGTGCGTTTTTAAAGCTCTGTGGCAGGTGAAGCTTTTCCTGGCATGGAGACCAGATGGTGGGAACAGTTTCATCTGTTGAAACTGCACAGGAGAAAAGCCAGTAAAAGTAAAATAGAAATGGGGAATTTCCACCTGGGATAAAGCACAAAATTAAGGCTACCGGTTCCCAGAGCCTGGGGGAACTTGTCTATTTTTAGAAGTTCTTAGGAACCATGAAAACTCTGTCATGGTGGCTGATACCCTCGCACCTGATGAAATTTCCTCCTTCTCTGTGATCCTTGAAAGTACAGGGACTGGATCTTTGCAAACTGCAACTCTTCTTAGAAAATATGCCTTCCTTCAGATTTCTCAGGGTGGGAATGCTAACTTCTATGACAGTTAACCTTCTCTGTAAAGATTTTGAGCAGATTGCTTGCTGTTTCTTAAGAAGCACAGAAAAGCCTCTGCTAGGATGATACACTCTATTTGCACTCAGTATCTGACTATTTTTATTTTTATTTTTTTAGTATAATCCTAACTCCACCAATTTAGAGAGTTCTTTTTTTTAAAGAAAAGTGCACAAATTGCATTGTATGTCTCAGATACGGCTCAACTGCTTTCATTTTGTACAGGAATTCAAAGGAAAATTAAACAAGGAGGGTTTGAGAGTGCGTAGAGATGTACGCAAAAATATTCATATGTCCGATAACTGAAATTAACGTCCGGCAGGTCCAGACCCTGAGAATGCAACATTTTTCCAGGTGCGTCTGTTCCCATAAGGGTGTTGCAATGAAGAAAAAGGCATTGACTCTTAAAGGTACAGGATCCCAATTTAGGGCCTGGAGCTGATGACTTTAAATTAAAGAATGGATCATTTCCTTTCTAAAGAGCAAATATTGATGACGCTGGGACATGCACACACACACACACACACACACACACACACAGAGAGAGAGATTTCATTAGATTAGCTTAAGATAATAACATACTCATAGATTAGCACTCCAAATAACTTTTCATTAATTTTAATCCTTGCGCTAATTTACAATGCACACCAATACACTGATTTATTTTGTGTTTTATAGCGAAGCATAAACTCTGAATTCAGGAGAACTTTACATATGAAGCTGCCCTATGCTAAGACAAACCACTGGCTCAGCATTGCGTTTGGCTAGTAGCAGCTCCCAGGTCTTGAAGCAGGACCTTTCATAGATCCTTCAAACTGGAGAGGCCTGGAAATGAGCCTGGGACTTTCTGCAAGAAGGAGCCAAGGCCCCCTCCCTTAAAATATCTGTATATCTCAGCTTCTCCATTTCACATCCAGTGTACCCCTGCTGCTATTTTTTGTAGCCATATAGACACGATGTTATTTTAAGCCTTAGCTTCCAAGAGATATTGATGATGCTTACGAGAAGCATCTGAAAGAGGGTTCTTGATTAGATTCATCTTTGGTCTATTCTTCCGATGTTCTTAAAGGAAAATGGGGGGGGGCATATTGTGCTTTTACTACCTTTTAAAAATGGCCTTGAGGAATAGGATCTATTTAAAAAAATGTGTCTAAGTATTACAACAAAGGGACGCGGGTGTACACAGAGCCTAGGACTTGCCGATCAGAAGGTCGGCGGTTCGAATCCCCACAACGGGGTGAGCTCCCGTTGCTCGGTCCCTGCTCCTGCCCACCTAGCAATTTGAAAGCACATCAAAGTGCAAGTAGATAAATAGGTACCACTCCGGCGGGAAGGTAAACAGCGTTTCCGTGCGCTGCTCTGGTTCGCCAGAAGAGGCTTAGTCATGCTGGCCACATGACCCGGAAGCTGTACGCCGGCTCCCTCGGCCAATAAAGCGAGATGAGCGCCGCAACCCCAGAGTCGGTCACAACTGGACCTAATGGTCACGGGTCCCTTTACCTTTACTTTATTACAACAGCTTGACAAAAATCAGCTGCGAAGCAGCACTACATGACCACTATTCACCATTGAATAGTCAACTCTAAACCATGAGATCCACCTGTTCCTTTTTCCTCCTCCTGGCAGATCCCCAAAACACGGAGAACCGTACTTCCTATAAGTATTTGAAAGAGACCAAAATATCAAGCCTGCCCCATGCCTAAGGCTAGTAATATAAATGTGCAGTCCAATCCTATGCTTGTATTCTTGGAAACGCCTACAAGTGAGTTCAGTGGGGATTGTTCGCTAGTAAGACTGCAGCCTTAAAAAAAATGTATGTTAAAATGTTCAGTTATTCTCCACTGGAAGCTAATGAGGAATAATGACAATTGACAGCTCGGCTCATTCAAATACACCAGCAGAGAAGATCTCATCATCAGCCTAGCAAATTGAGAACATTTGAATTTCCAGAAATATGAGGAAAACTTCGTCAACACTATTTTAAACCCAGACTGTATGAGTAAAAAGGGAGATTCGGTTAAAATGTCTTAACTGTTCATCAGTTCAGAAGAAGGGAACATTTAATAAGTGACAATATATTATTAAATCCATTTAAGCTGGTGGCCACCACCAGTGTTAACCCGGCACTGTGCTTGTATTTTCCCATTTGCAAGAACACTGACCCTGCAGCAAGGTGTTTTATATTGAAATTGCAATAGCTGTGAAAACTGTGCAAGACATTTAAGAGCACTGTTAGCCATCGATCTTCCACGTACTGGGACAGTAGACCTCTGAGTCATAGACTCACAGGACTGTAGAGTTGGAAAGGGACCGTGAGAGTCATCCAGTCCAACCCTCTGCAATGCAGGAATCTGAACACAAAATGCTGAGATGATGCCTTGCTTTGTGGGCTTCCCAGAGGCATCAAGCGGATTCTGTCCTCTTTCTGGATAGTAACGCTTGTCTTTAAAATAAGTATAATAAATTGCCTGGTGTGCTCAGGTCCACGGGGTCACGAAGAGTAGGACACGACTAAACAACAACAAATAATTAACTGTTTGAGCATAATTAATTAACTAAATTATTGAAATGTTAATTGATTATAATGATATTCATAATTTAGCACCATGCTCCCATGTGCAATTCCGCAATGGAGTGAGATAATTATTTATTTATAAAGGGGATGTCTAATTGGAAAGAAGGTGTACTTGCCAGTGAAGAACACATTCATTGATGAATGAGACTTCTTTTTCGTATCTAAATAGTGTCTACCTATTTATTTATAGTCTGCGTGTTAGTGAAGGTCTTTTGAAATGCCTCTTGATTTGATCAACTTCCCCAGCCCCAGCAACACATTTTCCCAATCACTATGCAGATTTTTAAAAATAACAAATAAAAAAATGCCCCCATCTATCATGGTTGTAAAACTAGGGTTGTCATATCATATGTCCTGACATAGTGGGCATTCAGGCCCCTTAAGCCTTGTCCAGGTGAAAATCGCTGAAATGTCTTTGAAAATCTGGACCTATGGCAACCCATGTTGGTAGCAGATTTTGGCGATTTTCATTTAAAGCAGCTCAAAAACTCCTTTTCCATTCTTGTTGAGATTTCTCAAAAAAACAAAACACAACTCATCAACTTTGGGCAAAACAAAACAAAACAAAAAGGCATGCCAGAATCCTGGGAAGTCTAGTTTCTTAACGCTGCTGAGAGTTGTTAGGCAACCCCTACTCCTCTCACAGAGCCATAATTTTCAGAATGATTTAACAGATAATCCCTCTTCCCAGAGAACTCTAAACCTGTAGCTCTGTAAAGGTCTTCCTAATAATTATTATTACTTTTGACAGACTACAGCTCCCAGAATTCTTTGGGGCAAGCCACAACTGTTTAAAGTGGTATGATGCACTTTTGGATGCATAGTGCAGATGGGGCCATAATAGTCAGAATTTCACTGTCCCCATCTAGGGTAGTTGCCAGAAACGAATGCAGCAAAGGCAGACAGAAAATTCCAGCTGGGCCATTCTTGCTAGGAGTGTGCGTTGTGCTTGATGACACAATGCTGCCTGTGCACAGATGGCTACATCTGTTGTGTGTGTAGCAGAGGAGTCACTGCTTGCCTTTTTAGTTCAAGGCGCTCCTCAGGCTCCAGCAGCTGTGGGGCGGAGGATACAGCTCCCCACCAGCCTTGCTGGGCACCCATAAGCAGGAAATCTGATGGAAAGGTGTGCTCAGGGCATGGAAGCTCACAGCACACTTGGGCAGTCTCAGAATGAGAGGCATTTCCTTTCCAAAAATAAAATCACTTGGTGCACAATATCACTAGCTATTTGGTAGAGACACGAAACAGGGCCTTTTCGGTGGTGGCTGCTCCCAAACTCCTTCGCTGGAGAAGATAGACCAGCTCCCTCCATGTTGATCTTCTGCAGGCAGGTGAAGACCTTCTTGTTTCAACAAGCTTTTGGGAACTGATGGCCACCTGTCATGTATGAATGAGATGAGATTCCCACATTGCAGGGGGTTGGACTAAATGACCCTCAAGATCCCGTCCAACTCTATGACTCTATGATTATATTTCTGCTTTTAATTAAAGGGCTGGTGCTCTGCTCCTTTTCTTGTAATTATTGGTATGGTTTTAACAGATTATATATATGTATATGGTTTTAATTTGATCAGTGCTTGGCTTTTTCCCTATTCTTTTAGCGATTCTTATTTTTATCTGCAAGCCGCCCAGAGTCCCGTCAGGGGAACATAAACATACAATAATTTTTAAAGCAAATAAGGTGCCGCCTCCCCCCCCTTTTTTGCAGGTACAGAACTCTGCACATGCCCAGAGCTACTCAGCGGATTTGATTTATTCTATTTCTGCGCCGCTTTTCTTTCAAATGAACCCCAAACCATAAACAACAAAAACAAGCAGCGTAAATCATACAGGGGGGATCAAACCCCAACAAATCATCCGTGAAACCGCTACAACCTATAGAACACAGTTAACAAAGCAAAAATAAATAAATAAATAAAGAGCTGAACATCGCAATTAAAGCCAAAGTCCGATGACACGATTTGCACATCCGAGTTTATAATCTATATAAAACAATACCTTGGGGGGGGGTATGGGGAGGAGGGAGCTGCTGCCCCTCTCTTTCGGCAACCAGGAACCCCCTCAGCCACGAAAAAGCCCACGTCCTCTGCCCATGTGCAAAGTGCTTACCCCTCCCCCCCCATCACTTCTACATGAACCTCAGGAACCTTATGGGGCAGGGGGTGGGGGAAAACAACTGTGTATCCCCCGCCAGGCTTGAGCCCCAGCGGGGGTGGGAGAGAGAGAGGGGGGGGGGCAAAGGAGGCGGCAAGGCGCCCCCTCACGCCGGAGCCTCCGTTTCCGAAGCGCCGGGCTTGCGTCGGAGGCGGCGGCCGGCGAGGCCTAGTCGCGGCGGAAAGAAAGCGGCGGCGGCGGCGGCGGCGGCGCTTCCTCCACGCTGGGCCGCAGACCCTCCTCACCGGGCTTACCTGGCGGTAGCGGAGGCGAAAAGGCCTCAAGTACTGAGAGTGGTCGCAGGGCCCCACCGCTAAGTCCTCGATGGATTCCATGGGGGGCGAGGAGGACGAAGAGGAGGAGGAGGAGGAGGCGGAAGCAGCGCCTTCGCCTCGGAGATGCAGCCCGAGAGGGGAGCGAGGAGGAGGGAGAGAGAGGAGAGAGGGTGAGCTGCCTCTCTCATATATATTTCTATGCCGGAGGTGTTCTGACTGGAATATGCACCTGTGGCTGCGTGTGCATGAGACTTTTAAATCACGCACACAGCTTCTCCCTCTTCTCGGCCCCCCCGACCCGAAATCATGGAAACTACGGTTCCTTCACACAGAGAGAAAACTACAGTTCCCAGCACCCTGAACAAACTACACACGGAATCGCAGAAAGAGATCGGCGTGCTTGGCATATAGCAAGCCCCCTTTTTCTCCGGGAGGCTTCCTCCCAGCTGAGTTATTTGCAGCTTGAGACAGAGCATAAAACGCTCCTCTAGGTAACCTTTGTGAAATAATAATAATAATATTAACAATAATAATAATTTATTATTTATACCCAAGCCACTCTGGGCGGCTCTCAGCAGAATATAATAAGCACAGCATATTAGTTCCATGCTGCAGATTTGAGGCAAGTAGGCGAGCCTCAGAACATCTAGCGAGCATATCACAGGCGAAGCTTGACAGGTACCCTATATATATGTGTGTGTGTGTGTGTGTGTGTGTGTGTGTACAGTCATACCTTGGGTTACAGACGCTTCGGGTTGTGTGATTTCGGGTTGCGCACCGCACCGCACCCGGAAGTACCAGAATGGGTTACTTCCGGGTTTCAGCGCATGCGCATGTGCATGCGCAGAATCGCTAAATCGCGCTTTGCGCAGAGGTGCTGAATCGCGACCTGCGCGTGCGCAGATGCGGTGCTGCGGGTTGCAAATGCAGCAGGTTGCGAACGTGCTTCCCACGCAGATCACGTTCGCAACCCGAGCACCCACTGTATATGTGTGTGTGTGTGTGTGTGTGTATATATATATATATATATATACACAGTCATACCTCTTGTTACGTTTGCTTCAGGTTAAAGCTTTTCAGGTTGCGTCCTGCGGTGACCCGGAAGTACCGGAAAGGGTTACTTCCGGGTTTCGCCACTTGCGCATGCACAGACGCTCAAAATGACGTCACGCACATGCACAGAAGTGGCGAATCGTGACCCACAGACACACAGACGCCAGTTGCATTCTGCTCATGTTGCGAACGGGGCTCCGGAACGGAACCCGTTCGCAACCAGAGGTACCACTGTATATATATAGATATATCTCTCTCTCTGTGTGTGTGTGTAGTATTTTTATTAAAGATTTTCTTGGTTTACAAAGCATGTGCAATATATATTGCAGGTACCATATATTGACAGATACCATACAGGTTATTTGTTTGTCTGTAGCCTACTGCAGAGGCTTTCAACCTTTTTTTGGTCCACGGCTCCCTTAACCAACTACCTTCTGTCTGCGGCACCCCTGTGGGGCTCAGGAGCCCAGTTAGGTCACCCATTGCTTGCAGCCCCTCACCCCTTTTCAAACACCCTCCCTTGAGGAGAGTTCCCTCAGTCTCTTCTCTTCTCCCCTGTCCTTGGGAGTCCTCTGGGCAGCTGCTGCTGCTGCCACCCCTGGTCTCTGAACTGCCCCCCACCCCACCCCAAAGAGAGGTGCCTCCTCACACTGCCCCACAGGGGCCTGGGAAGCACCCCTGGCCATCCCCAGAGGCAACATTCACCTGCTGAGCTTGTAGCCAGGGCTGCTGCAACAAACAGCTGTGCAAGACTTTGGGAGGCAGAGATGCGAGAGGGCATCAGAGGAGGTAGGGAAGGAAAGAGGGACAGAGGCCAGGGTTGCCCACAGCATCCCTGACCATCATTCAAGGCACCCCAGGGTGCTACGGCACACTGGTTGAATACCACTGCCCTACTATGTTTGAGATAGAAATGTGTACAGTCATACCTCATGTTACATCTGCTTCATGTTATGTTCTTTCAGGTTATGTCCCGTGGCAACCTGGAAGTACCAGAAAGGGTTACTTCCGGGTTTCGCTGCTCGCGCATGCACAGAAGCACAAAATGACGTCACGTGCATGTGCAGAAATGGCGAATCGCAATCCGTGCGTGCGCAGGCACGCTGCTGTGGGTTGCGCTCTTTTCATGTTGCGAAAGGTGCTCCAGAACGGATGCCGTTCACATCCTGAAGCGAACGCAACCTGCGTCTGTGCGGGTCATGATTTGCCGCTTCCTCGCATGCGCGTGACTTCATTTTGAGCGTCTGCGCATGTGTGAGCGGCGAAACCCGGAAGTAACTTGCTCCGTTACTTCCGGGTCGCTGCGGACCGCAACCCGAAAATGCTTAACCCGAAGCTACTTCAACACAAGATATGATTGTAGTTATACGGTCAGGGTCGAGATGTACTCCATTCTTTTAAAATTATGCACAAGAATAGCTGGGTTATGCAGCCATTCTCCTCTCTTGGAGGTTTTTGAGCAGAGGTTGGATGGCTATCTGTCATGGATGCTTCAGCTGAGATTCCTTCATTGCAGGGGGTTGGACTAGATGACCCTCGGGGTCACTTCCAGTTCTATGATTCTGTGATTCTAAATTGAGTAAATTTAACCATTTCCCATAACTTCCACTTTTGCACAACGTCACTTGTTTATTTGTTTGATTATTTGCCTGCCTTTTACTGCAGGATCCCAGGGCAGGTTGCTGCAATTTAAATACAGTGGTACCTCAGGTTTAGAACTTAATTCGTTCTGGAGGTCCGTTCTTAACCTGAAAGTGTTCTTAACCTGAGATACCACTTTAGCTAATGGGGCCTCCCGCTGCTGCTGCGCCGCTGCCACGCCATTTCTGTTCTCATCCTGAAGCGAAGTTCTTAACCTGAGGTACTATTTCTGGGTTAGCGGATTCTGTAACCTGAAGCGTCTGTAACCTGAAGCATCTGTAACCCAAGGTACCACTGTACAGTGGACGCTCGGGTTGCGAATGTGATCCGTGCGGGAGTCACGTCGGCAACCCGCAGCGCCGCATCTGCACACACACGGGTCGCAATTCAGTGCTTCTGTGCATGCGCAAAGCGCGATTTAGCGCCTCTGCAGGTGCACGAGCGCCAAAACCCGGAAGTAACCTGTTCCTGTACTTCCAGGTTCAGCACAGTGCACAACCCGGAAACACACAACCTGAAGTGTCTGTAACCCGAGGTATGACTGTATTGAAATAAGTTTTGAAGGGGTGCAATCAACCGAGAGAAATGGGCTGGCCCCCAAAATATCTCTTTCAGGGGTCAAAGGCCAGGGTGTAAAGAGGTGCCTCTTCATTGTATGACAGAAACTACATAACAAAAGTGCCAGACACACCTGGGTGGCGAGGGGTTTCCACAACTGGAATCCTCTTCTGGAACCATGTCCAGCTAGTTGTTTCCGTGGCAACCACTTCCTTCTGCTCTTTAGTCATGCAAAGGGATACATAACAGGCTGGGCCAGAGCCAGTAACCTAACAAAGAGACTAGCTTATCCGCTTCAGCTGCTTTTCTTTCTACAAATCCCCACCTTGCCAAAATAAAACCATGGTTTAGGAGGAGAGCTACATTCATTCTGCTGTACCCTCATCCCACCCAAATCCCATAATAGTATTTTGTGGACAAAGGTGGTATTTTTGAGATTCCTCCATGCCTGTTAGCCAGAGTGCTGCTTTCCCCCCCCCCAAACCCCAGATTGTATCACTGCCCATATATCGCCCGGGTCAGGGGCAGAAGAATCGTGACCACACGGGGTCTTTCTGCTTAAAGGAGCCATAGAATCAGTCAGTGCATCCATGATGACTTAACATTTCATACTGTATTCCTCCTCTCGTAACCCATGGTTTGAGAATCCCTGCCCTAACCTATGACTTAACAAGCCACAGGTGGCTTTTAAAAAAGGAAAAGAATAGGTATTAAATCTTCTGTTGCATGTGATAATTATGTTTATATATGGGTAACCGGGTGCCTTGCTTGTAATCTCGGTGGTGAATCTTTAACTAAGACCTGAAATGCCAATTAGATGATGTCACTATCACATTAAAAGGCGAAGCAGCAGATGGCCGGAATTTCAGAATAATGTTTTAGTACAATCGATACATTCGCTTAAGTAGTGATTAGCAAACAATTGCGTTTGTGTTCATCAGTCTTGCTGTTGCCTAGAAAGTGAATACAAACCAGAGACGAAATGACTGTGACAAATCTGGAACTTCTGTTCGAGAATCTAATGTTGCCCTATCAAGTGTTAGGGAGTGTTAGAGAGACGTTTTCCTTACTGGCAGCCAAGTATCAGGAGGAAAAGGCAATCAAGCTATCCGATCTACAGAAGAGGGAGTCTGGGTTGTGGCAGTTTTTTGTTGTTTTTTTAAAGGCACATAAAGGGATTAGATTTTTTAGCAAAATGAGGATAATAGAAGAAGAACTGTAATAAAAAATTCCGTTTCATTTTTGCCAGGGTTGTTTGTTGTTTGCTGCTTCCGTTCCAGGTGTTGCAAGCATGAGCTATTCAACAAAAGGATATTTTGTAATCCATAGGAAGGACATTAATTACCCTGCATTTCACATTGTGAGTAATCTGAAAATATTTAGGCAATGCTACCGGATTTAGTGCCCTTTGAATGAGAGAACACTGGAGAAGGAGACCCATAGCTGTTTCGCAGTATTTGCTTTATTTACCTACATTGAGATAAAAGGTAACCCCCTTTAGGGTTTAGAGATGTAGTGAAAGGGCTTTAGGCTCACCTTCTGCCTCCTCAGATTCCTTTCTCCCTCCTTTCCTCGTTTGAATAATCGGCATTTTGCCATGTTGTCTTGAGTACAGGGCTTTGCTTTCCTTCCAAACCAGAACTGAAATCTAGAAGAATTCAAACAGTAGATTCTGATTCTTCTTTGGAGGCAAGCAGTGGTTAGCCCTATCTGAGCATCTCAACTCCCAGTGGCTTACTGAAACCAGAAATGGGGGCAATTGGAACCTAGGAAGGTGCCTTATACCAATTCATACCACTCATTCGTCTAGCTCAGTATTGTCTACTCTAACTGGTAAGGGTGGCAGAGCTGGTGCTGACTAAAATGACAGCTTAATCCCTTAGCTCTTCTCCTGATCCAGCAGAATGATGAAATAAAACCAACTAAACCAAAAGAAAATAGAGCAAAAACAAGTGGGCCTGTTCTAGGACATGCAAGGTACTTATTTAAAATCTAAAGAAAGGAGTCTGGATACGTATTTTTAAGCTAAAGAACTCATGGGCTGTGATTGCTTCACAGAAAATTTTCAGACAGTGACCTAACAATGGCACCCAAAATACAGAAGCAGTCAATCAATCAATCAATTTATAGTGCATAGCCAAAGGCCTTTACAGTGTACAGCAGAGGGCAAGGCAAGGCTTTCCTCTGGAATCGCACGACATACCCTATAAAAAGTTTACAGCATAACATTTTCAA